AGACAACACAGACCCTTGTAATGCATACAATATCCCATGCTTCACGCCCTTCAGCACCTTCCTTGAACCTTTACAGACATACACAACTCTACCTTTTCCTTTGAAGCTGAAACCCTTGTAGTCGAGTAGACTCAAGGAGATCAGGTTCTTTGTCATTCGTGGAATATGTCTGACATCATTCACGGTACAGAACGAACCATCATGTGTCTGAACCTTTATGGACCCGATTCCAACAACCTTGGAGACAACTCCATTTTCCATGACCACGTTACCACCATCTATCTGCTCGTAGGTTGTGAAACAATCCCTGTTCGGAGACATATGGTATGAGACTGCAGTATCCAGAAACCACACATCCCCACGATGTGCCTTCTCATCTACAGCCAAGGCGAGATTGTCTTTAGAACTGTTGTCCACTTCTGCCACGACAACTGAATCTTGTTTCTTCTGCTGCCCTCTTCTCTTGGGACAGTTGTACTTCCAATGCCCCACTTCCTTATAGTTGTGACAAGCATCACCTGGCTGTGGATCAGGACCGTTGGAATTCTTGTTCGAATTAACTTTACCAGATTTCTTCTTTCCCTTTCCACCTGTAATAGCCAAACCCGATGCCTCACCACCTGTACCAGATCCGGACGTCTTATGCCTGATCTCTCTCGTATGAAGAGCAGACTTGACATCCTCCAACGACACGCTTTCTTTACCGACAATAAAAGAATCAACGAAATTCTCATTTGAACTCGGCAAAGAAACCAGCAGGATTAGGGCAGCATCCTCGTCATCAACTTGAACATCTATATTACGCAGATCCAGTAAAATAGAGTTAAGTTGTTCGAGATGTACCATCAAAGGCGTACCTTCTTGCATCCTAAAGCTGAACAGCCGTTGCCTGAGATGCAGCTTGTTGGTTAAGGACTTCGTTATATACAGACTCTCCAACTTTAACCACAAGCCCGCAGCACTCTTCTCAGCATCGACTTCAATGATGACGTCATTAGACTATGATAGCATGATGGTCGAGTGGGCCTTCTCCTCCAGGGTATTCCACTCATCGTCATCGACCGCTGCCTTCTTCTGTTTCGCAGACAACGGCCCCCACAGCCCTTGTTGTTTCAATAAAGCCTGCATCTTGATCTGCCATATAGCGAAGCTGTTCTTCCCCGTGAACTTTTCGATCTTCATGTTCACCGACATCATTCTTCTAAATCGTAAACCCTAGCCTGATTTCCAGCCGCGACTCTGATACCACTTGTTATAAACGCGCTGCTATGGATCGAGAAATCGCCAGAATCGATAAAGCAAGAATACGAAAGCGAGAATTGAAAAACACAGACACACGATTTACGTGGTTCACTAACACGATGTGTGTTAGCTAGTCCACGGGAGAGAGAGAGCCAGTTTCACTATATCAAGGAGATTACAAATTACAGAGGAGACTCCCGACTAATCCAGTCGTAGCGGCTGATAGTCCGATTCAAGTCACATCAACACAAACGTAATTTTGCATCATGAGTTCCCTTAGTAGGAAAGCTGATTGCAAAATACTTGCAAACAATGCAGTCAAAAGCGCGATTCTACATAGAAGCGGTTAGGTGACCTAGAAGCGTAAAACCGTAAGCTTTTAAACTTTAAAGCGTAGATTTTGACTACATTTGTAAGAGAAAATCACGATTCTACGTAGAAGCGTTTTGGTGACCTAAAAAGGTAAAAGCGTAAACTTTTAAATTTTAAAGCGCGATTTGGACTGCATTGTTTGCAAACCATTAGCAACCCTAGTAACCAAAAGAAGAAACTGGTTGCAAAATGGCAAGAGGCATACCACAAGGATGTTGAGAGCTTTTGGCATTCTACAAGAAAGATGAGCCATTGTTAGAGCGCCGGGTCAATATTGGGATGTACAAATATTGGAGAAATTATGCTCACTTGCGTCATTCTACAGAATATGATAGTTGAAGACCAACGAAATGAGTTTGGAGAGGAACAAGCGGAGAGGATTAAATATGAGACTATTACATATGTCACATTGGATCCACTAGATCATGACACTCCGACTCTCGTGAAGCACATGATAAGGCATAATAGAATTCATATCGTTAAATACATTATGCGTTGAAAGCGGATTTGATTGAGCATTTGTAGACAAGAGAAGGAGGAGGTGGGTTAAAATGTGGTGTGACTCTAAGGGGTCGTTTGAAAGTTGCGATTGTTAAATAGATGTATTGTTGAGAATGCATGTATAATATTATACATGTATTGTCGAATTTGATGCATTGTAGAATACAACGTTTGGTATGTGTGATTGTGTACATCGCATCAGCTAAAAGCTGAGACAAAACAATCTCAACTCAACTATCTCAACAATCACAACTAAAAGTTGAGATATAAAAATCACTCAAAATGAGTGGTAGTTTCTGTCACATCACAGAAACAATCCATGTAATGTTTCTGCTAAAAAAACAAAAGAACGATGCATTGTAAACAATACATGCATAATGACAATCTCAACAAAACTATCGCAACTTCCAAACGACCCATAAGTTTAATTTGTGCACTTTAATTACTGGAATTTGTGTTGTGCTGAGTTTATTTTATGTCTTTTGTGCATTTTTGTTGTTGTGTTTTGATCTGATTGTTATCAATGTATTTTCCACATACGAGTGTCTTCATAAAGAAAGTTGTTGCATTAATAATTGAACATAAGCATAATGAAAAAGGAAACATCAAGAATAAATTCAAAGTACTTAAAAGGAAACACACTAAAAATTAAGGATACATCAAGAGTACATTCAAAGCACTTAAAGCAAACACACTAAAATAAAGCATACATCAACAATAAATCAAATAACTTATTAAAGATTGTTGGTCGAGGGTGTAAGTGTCGTCAAATGAACTACTGCTAGACCCCCAGTGGTATAGAACTTGAATTTGGTTGGTACGCAAACATAATCAGATCTCTTTGAATTTGGTATCATGCTCTTTGTTGAGGATCCAATTGTGAAAGATCATGAAGTGTGATTTCTCGCTCGTACTTATTTTTTTCTCTTGCTTCCTTCGCCTTCTCCCTTTACTCCCTACTGACGGCCAATCTCGCATGTGTTGTCGAACTTGTCGCCATGTCCGACAAGCTCTTTTGCAAAACATCTATGCCAGAAGAATCACCACCTTTTCTTCCCCTTTTGTTGATCTCGACCTTCGGGACGGTTGAGCACTCTTGGAGTAACAGTTGCTTGATGGTCGAGGCTATCATGTTCGTCGTTTGACATAGCCAATGAGGATGGTGGAATGGATACTACAGGAGCATATAATTGTTGCATAAATCTTTGGCAGTGTTGGAATAGTGTCCAACATTCTTCCAACTTCCATTCTTTCTTTGTGTCTTCCCTAAAAATAGTCTTTGTGTGATCCATCTAGACAACCAATTAAAAAATAATTTACATGGTTAAAAATTATAAATTAAGAATTAGACAATCGGTAGTATTAAATTAATACGTGATCGTCTTAATAAAATATAAATGGTCATACTAAACTAAAGACGCTAAACATGATTTTCTTACAATGGGATTGCGTAGAAGATAATATAAACATCAGATGCATAATATTTGAGTTATCTGGTAAGATTATTTTTGTTGATAAAATTGGGCAAGACTATGGAATCCATGAATATTAATATATATTTATTTGTTTAAGAAATCAATAGAAATTTATAAAAGAGTGATATTATGTAATTTTGATCTTAGATTTAACAAATTAGACCCATTTTTTAATAACTCGAATAAAAAAAAATTGAAAGCCATCCGACTTAGGGAAGTATTTGTATGATAATCCCCGGGTAAAATACCTCCGGTACCACTAAAGTTTGAGAATTGGGGCAGACATACCACTTAAGTTTGAATAGGGCGTCGGGTACCATTACAGTCACCAAAATGTGCATCCGTCTAGTTTTCCATCCAACCCAAAATTTTAATTACTTTTTGGTACCCAAAACTTTTAAAAACATTCAAAACTATATTTCAACAAGTTTTTATCTAATATAGAAATTAAAAACCTTCTAAACATAATATTACTAAAATGACTAATCAAAATTTTCAATAAAATAGATAAGTTAGTAAAAATAATAAACAAATATCAAGAAGAATAAATATATAGAATATAATAATAAATATTTAAAATCAATATTAGAAGATCTATTTAAATCACTAATCCGATAAGAAGTACTATTAAAAATAGTTAAAATAGAATCTAATCGATCATCAATACATTAAGACCAAAGAATGATAAATGGAACACAGTTAGAAATAATTAAACATATTACAGTAATTGAAGATAATTTAGAACGAAAATAGAATGAAACTAACCAAGAAAATTATACAACATCCAGATGATGTACGAGAATTAAATATAACATCCTCATATTATTTATATCGATATAGAATTCATAGGATATATTTGCTTAAGCAAATTTTTCGATTATTATAACACATAATGGTAATTTAAAGTACTTATAATGATAATTGATTCTATATTTCCTATTCAAAAATTGGTTTGGTATCAAAATCTAAAAAAAAGAATAATTCAATTATTAGAAAACATAATAATAATTGAAAATACTTATAATAATAATTGATTTTAAATTTTCTATTCAAAAATTAATTTGGTATCAAGTTTTCAAAAGAGGATACCAATTAAATAATAAAAATTGATGTTTTTCATAAGTCAAAAATGATTTTTTACAATAAGAAAAGTAGAAGGACCAATTAAGAAATTTAGAAAACAGAATATTCCAAGAATATTCTGTTTAACTTTAACGGAATGCACTTAACATTAAACTTAAGTGGTACCGGGTGCACAAATAATAGAGTTCAGTGGTACCCGACGCCCTACTCAAACTTAAGTGGTATGCATATCTCAATTCTAAAACTTAAATGGTATCCGAGGTATTTTACCCGATAATCCCCCATTAATATGTGTATACAAATACAAGCTTTTCACCATGATTTCTTACCATTTTCAAAAGCCCTTTTCCTCAAATTCCGACCTTTTCCCCTAAACAACTCATTTTCCATTCTGTTATAATAATAATAATAATAATAAAAGAAAAACATTTCCACATTCGGCGCAGTGAATAAAAACCCATGTCAAAATTCAAAAAGGCAAAAAAGTTCTCGCAACCGCAGCCGTCCACTCCACTCTCCGATCCGTCACCCCACTCTTAATCTTCAATCTCAATCAGAAATCTTAAATTTGTCCTCTTTGCACCGGATCCAGAACGCCCACGAAGAAGAAGATCTATTTATTAACCTTCCCTTCCATGGCAGCAATCCGAGTCCCATGAAAAAGCATTGAAGAAGTTTCCTCCCCCATCACCGAAATGGCGAATACCCACGAAAGAGGCAAGTCCTTCTTCTTCCTCCTGCAACTCTTTCTGCTCTTCATCCTCCTCTCTTCACCGCTCGTAACCCGCTCTAGCGAGGAAGAATCCGGGCCGGAACTCGAGCCCGAATCCGGAAATGAATCCCCCCGCCACCAGGAAGTTCTGTTGCAGAGAATGGAAGAATTAGTGAAAAGTTTAGGCGAACTAGTGTCTAGGTTAGAGCCTGTGTTATCTCAATCGCCTCCGCCGCGGGAGTCGCCTCCACCGCCGCCGCCTGCCGCCTTGAGCGGTGGGTTGGAAGACCGGGATCAAGTGAAAGGGGAAGGTACTAGGGACGGTAAGCCTAGGGTTCGGGAGAAATTGAAATCAGTGTCAGTGACTAAGTACAGTCCACTCTGGTCAGAGAGGTTTCAATTCTTCTCGGCAGTGAAACTCGATTCGCAGGCTACTTGCATCAACGTGTTGCCCTTTCGAGATTACGAAGGTGTTAGCAAGTACGTTGCAGTTGGGGATGATCATGGTAGGGTGTATGTCTTCCTTAGAAATGGAGATGTTCTTGCCGAGTTCGGCACTATGGTTGATTCCCCTGTAACCGCCATTGTCTCCTACCTAGCCATGTACAAGAACGAGAGCATCCTAGTGACAGGCCACCGCAACGGGGAGATCTCTCGGCACAAGATCGTTGAGAGATTGCTGAATGGCGTCGAAGATTATGCTTCCTTGGAAACTGTCGCCATCGGTGGTAGTTTTGAAGGGGAAACGGGTAATTTGGCCGTGAGGGTTCTGGAGGTCCACCATGTGGGCAGAACAAGGTACATTCTGAGTTCGGATGATGGTGGGATGATTAGGGTTTACAAGGAAGGCGGGAAGTTCCATGGATCGGTCAAGCCATCGAGCAGGCCACTCGCATTCTTGAAACAGCGGCTGATGTTCTTGACCGAGACAGGGGCCGGTTCATTGGACTTGAGAAGTATGAAGATCAGGGAATCAGAATGTGAAGGGTTGAACCACTCCTTAGTACGAAACTACGTGTTCGATGTCACCGAACGGTCCAAGGCCTATGGTTTTACCTCTGCAGGGGATCTGATTCACGTTCTGTTGTTGGGTGATGTGTCGAATTTCAAGTGCAGGGTGAGGTCAAAGAGGAAGATCGACATGGACGAAGACGAAACCCTAGCCATGAATGCCATCAAGGGCTACCTCCTAATCGTCAACCAGCGCAATGTGTATGTCTACAACGTCTCGTCTCATCACTTTGTCAGGATGGTGGGCCCACGGTTGATCTTCTCGGCGGGTCTGGACGAGATCAGATCATCATTTCTCAGCCACCAAACTGGAATCGACTCAAGCGTGGGGGCGCCATTGATAGCCAGCGACAGAGAAAAGCTAGTGGTGGTCGGGCTAGGAGATGGTTACGTGGGGATGTACCGTTCCAGCTTGCCAGTTTTCAAGGGCGAATTCAACACCATGATGTGGACGAGCCCTGTGTTGATATTCATACTCTTTCTGTTTGGGGCATGGCAGTTCTTCGCCAAGAAGAAGGAAGCTCTGATCTCGTGGGGGCCCGACGATCCATTCGTGGGGACCACGAACCCCACATCATCATCGTCGTCGGCAGGGAACTCTGCTCCGGCTGCATTGGAGACTTCTTCAAGGAACAGTGGTGGGATCATGGACTTGAGAACCGGTGAAGGGATGAGAGGGGCTACGAGGAGGTATGCTTCACCGCCGAGGTATGCTGGTGGCGGAGGGACAGCGAGTGGTGCATTTAGGCCAAGTGCGGTCGATGCCAGTAACGCGTCTAGGCCAAGTTCGGTTGAGCCATCGGGGTACAGAACTTCGTCGTCGTCGGAGCTGAAGTATCGTGCCTCGCATATGGAGCCGCCTGGGTTTCCCAAGAGGAGGGAGAATCTGTTTGCGAACAACCAGGTCGTGGACGAAAACTGAAGATGGGATTCGTTGCAGTTCTTTCCTTTCTTTGGTTTCTGTTCTTGTGGCTCTTGTTTTGGGCTTCCATTGTGTTGCAAGGTTTACAACCAACTGCTATGTAATGGCTTCTACAGAATGTGTAACCGTAACTTTTTGTCATAAATCTATTTGAAATGTAATCAAATAGTTAAAACCTATTAGAATTTATGCAAAATACAACGGTATATCCACAACTATCACATTTGTGACAAATAATATCCACAATTATCGAAATATACGAAATTTCCAATTTCGTCCAATGCTCTAACAGCGTCAATTAACAATCTGACTCGATTAACATAATAGGTTGAGTCGGCAATATTTGGTCCCACCATCCGGGAGCAGATATGGTGACAATACCATATTTGTTGTTATTGTAACAACACTAGTCTCCAACCAATAGGAAGCTAGGGTTGTGATGACTTTTTATTAGATGAGTTAACCTAGTGTAAAATCAAAGCAAGGGTATAATTGTCATTATGAAAAATATGTTTAAATAATAATTGAAAAATAAAAAAAAAATCAAAATTATTTTTTTATTCTATGCCCAAAATTTTGGTCGCCGGTCACCGGAATATGCTTTTTGTCATCGGAATATGCCACCGCCGTTGGAATATGCTTACCGGCGTTGGAATCTAGTCATCGGGGCCGAAATATGTCTATCGCCGCCGGAATCCGATCACTGACGGTCATCGGAGTTTGGTCAACGGTCTTCGTTGACCGGTCAATGGTCAACGAACATCGGATATTATTGTCTGCATTGTGAGATTTATGGTTTGGTTTCTCATATTTTTGTATGCCTTTTGTGGTTTGCTTTATCGTGTTTGTGGTTTGCATTGAGAAGTTTCTGGTTTGATTTCAAAAAATTTGTGGTTTGCATTTAGGGGTTTCTGGTTTGTTTTAATATATTTGTGGTCTGCATTAGGAAGTTTCTGGTTTGCTTTTTTTGTGGTTTGATTTACTGTGTTTGTGGTTTGCATTAGGAGATTTCTGGTGTGCTTTCGCAAATGGTGTGGTTTGCTTTAGGGGATTTTTGGTATGCATTAGGAGATTTCTGGTTTGTTTTATTGTGTTTCTGGTTTGCATTAAGAAGTTTAAGGTGTGCTTTCGAAAATTTTATGGTTTAATTTATGGGGTTTCTGGTTTGTTTTCATGGATTTGTGATTTGCTTTGTGGGGTTTCTAGTAGGTTTTAGTGAATTTGTGGTATGCATTAGGGTGTTTCTGGTTTGCATTTAAAAGTTTCTGATGTGCTTTTAAAAATTCTACGGTTCGCTTTGTGAGATTTTTAGTTTGTTTTAGGTGATTTGTGGTCTGCATAAAACTGTGATTTCAAGTGCATTGATAATACCAAAAAAAACAATGTATTGAAGCCTTGTTTACACTGCCAACAACAATACTCTCGTAGCAAGATGGAGCAACCAAAAAAAAAAAAAATGGGGCTAATGGAAGGTTTATACTTTTGTTGTACACACACTTAAAAGAAACTCAATCTGCGGGGTAGGTAGAACATTAACACACAATTGTTGCAAAGAAACTCAATCGCCCTCAAACCCTTACTCCCCACCCTGCTATCTAGCTCTCTATTGTACTGTCGCTTCCGTCTCTCGTGAAAGGGTTTTCCTCTCGTTTTGAAGTTGGGGTGTTTTAGCTTCAATTTTGGGGTTTTGTTCGTTTCTCACTTGTTCTTCTCGAGGTGGCTCCGCCATTTGTGATGGATTCTCGGCTGCTTGATTTTTCTGTACATAGTCCCCGGCGGCGGCACAAGACTCTGCTCCTTCATCATGGGAGTTCAATCTGAGAGGCGAGAGGTTGGGGCTGTGGTGGCTTCGGCTTCAGGAGCTTGACGATTGACACCATGGTGATGCCCAACGTCATGAGAAGCCCGGCGTAGGAGGCAAGAATGGCTATTCCGCCAGCGAGATTGGTGAAGGAGACAAACCACTCCAATTGTTCGACGCCTTCGATAGTTGATTCGCCATGGATAGGGTTCCTTCATCTCTGGCCTCGGAGGTCACAATTCGAGTGAGGTTTTGATTTTTCAGGGAAAGTCGGCAGGGGAGAAGAAGAACCGAGATCCACCAGGAGTGTGAAGCATGGATTACGAAACCGTACCGGACATCAAACCGGAATCGTTTTTGGCATGGTAAATCGTGGTACAACCATGGTTCAACCGTTTCCTACCGGCAAATACCGTTTTTGGAATAAAAAAATTATTTTTTTGTTAAAAAACCGTACCGACAAAATTAAGGTACCATACCGGGAAAATACCGGAATAAAACCGGATTATACCGCCTAAAAAACTGTAAAAAAGTAAATAAGCTTAGGTAACATTCAACAAAGTGCGAGATTTCAATCGAGATTTCAATACCTAATAAACCTCATAATCATCCAAATACATTTTTAGAAACTAGTACAAAAACCACAAACTTAATGTTGGCATACTTGAAAGCCGGATTAAGGAAGTATGATGCCACAAACAAATCACGGCTCAAATGTTTATCCCACCTCTTATTAATGAAATGACTTGGATCCACAGTCTCTAGTCCCTGGATGATTCAATAACCCCCTCAATCACGGGTGAAACCAACTGAACTAACAGCAGGCAGCTTTTGCAGCAAAAAAACCCCGAAAACAACATGGATGAAATCAAGACTGAGTGTTGCATACAAAGAATGTCAATGGAGTGAAGATTGTGAATTAGCAGCAAAGTTGGAAGGACTAACATGTTCCCTAGCGAAAGCTTCAGCACCTTGGAACCCAAGATAAATGTGAGGAGTCTTGTCCATGACTAGCCTCGCCACCGATACGGCGTTGACAAGAGTGGTTAGCCCAGAGACAGCTCCGCACCTCATAGTTTTGCCGTCCATGATGCAGGCTTCCATCTCAACTGTCCCGTCAGTGGTCAACACCGATCCCTTTCCAGCATTGAACTGCGGGTGGTTCTCTAATTCGCGAACCTGCAAAGTAACAGCCATGGAGCCACTAGCAACCTCTAACATCCGATGATACAAGATTCTAATTTTATATAAATCCGCCCATTCAAGCCAATTACTACTGGATTCAATTTCCGATGGCCAGAGGATATCCGGGAAGTGATTTGGGCGGGCGTACCACGAGTTCGACGACGTCGAGAGGGTGGGCGTGGGATTGGAGAGCGGAGACGCCGAGTTGGAGGCAGTGGCGGAGAGCGGCCTCGCGAGGGAGGCGGCGGTCAGGGGAAAGTGAGCGTGGAATGTCGCCGGCGCCGCCATGAAGAGCGATTGCCCATCCCATGTTCTCCACGCCGGCTGCTTCTGTTCCTCCGTCTTCGGGTGGGTTGGGTTAGAGCGATTGCCCATCCCATGTTGCCGGGGAGGACGAGTCGCCGATGCCGGGGAGGACGAGGCGCCGTTGCTGGGGAGGACGAGGCGCCGTCGTCGGTGGTGAGAAAGGCAGAGCGGCGCGGGGGGAGACGAGAGGATGGAAAGGAATTTGGATGGAAAGGCAGAGCGGCGCGGGGGAGACGAGAGGAGAGTGTGGAGAGGAGAGTAGGGTTTCGACTTTCGCTGCTTCTCTTCCTTTTTTTTTTACTTGGTCAAAACGGCGCCGTTTCAGCTAATTAAAGGGACCGCCGGTTTTAATAAAATCGGCCGAAATTTCACCCGGTTGCGGTCCAACCGTAAAAACCGGCCGGCAGCCTCTTGGATGATACACAGGCCATGTTGTGCCGGGCCAGGTCCGGTTTTCAGTTTTTCCGGTCCGACCGACCGGTCCGGTACGGTATCCTGGTCCCTGGTGTGAAGGAGACGGGGTCGGTGGTTCAAAGCGGATAGGAAAACGCGTAGGGTTAATTTTTATTTTGTTATTTTTATTGTTAATTTACCCTTTTGTCCTTAATGAATCCTGTTGTTATTATAACAACACTTTTAGTGAAGTGTTGTTATAGTATCCGGACCCCACCATTACACGTGGATAATGGAAAAAAAGAGATAAAAATCTTCTTTTCCTCTTCCCATCGTCATCTCATCGTCTTCCCACCTCTCTCATTTTCTTCCTCAGAGCCCCATCTTCGATCTCTCTCTATTGCCAAACGCAAAATCCCCTTCTTCGAGTGGAATGTTTCTTCAATCTCGTCCGGCGGTCCGTGATCTTATCCCAAGTCCCAACGACGGGGTTCCGGCATCCCTCTAAAAGTCCACCAAACCTTCGCCCTAGAATGAATCCTATGATTCAATTGAGAATCAATTTGGTTTGCACGTGGGGGTGGGGTGAAGGCGCCGGGAACAACGACGAGGATGACCTTCTCCCGGCTCCGCTAATCATCAGCATCCCTTAATCTTCTCCTGCTGCCGCCATCCGCATCTCCACTAGCAGTCGAAGATCGGATTTTTCCCAGCCCAGATCTCGATTCCTAGGTGAAGAAGACACTGATTCCCCTCTCCCCTGCATAGTTCACGCCTCTACTGGACCGCTCCTCCCATTGATCATGTTTTACCTGTCGATTAAATCAGAGGCAGTGAGCAGCACAACCGGTGAAGGTGAGAGTTTGCTAGGTAATTGGAAGGGGTGGTGGTGGGATGAAATTCGTCCGAGTGTGGAGCCAAGCGCAGTAAGATGACGACCCAGTTTCGTGCCCCAATTGCGAGAGCGGTTTGTGGAGGAGATCGAGTATCCTCTGCAGATGACTCCGATGGAGACACGCTCTCATCGTCGTCGAAGCTTTCCGACAGCTTTGTATTTTGCCTCATTCTCCGCTTCTCCCTATGTTCGTCATCGGGATCTGTAGCTGTTGTTTTTCCCATTGTTCACCTTCTCCCTGCATCCAAACCCCGATGCAAAGATGGATTAAGTGAGCGAGGCGCGTTGGGATAAGAATAGCAGCGGGGGAGAAAGCAAAAGACCAAGATCGATGTCGGCGACGGGAGCGTGAGAGGAAGCTAGAGGAGGAAACAAAACTCGACGTTGGGATTTGGCCGCTTGGTAACGAAGCTCGGTGTTGGGATAGCGTGGCCGGAAATATGGGGTTGATCGCCGAATTTTTTTTTAATTTTTTATTAATTAATTTCTGACGTGTCATTTAACTCTAATATTATGTTGATTTGTTGCTAATGTGGACGGCGATTTGGATTCTAGTCAGCATTTCGTCACAATAATTAACGGCGTCACTAACACCGTTATAGTTTCAGACGAAAGTGGACAGATTTGTCATACAACCTTCCGATTTTTTGATATTTCGTGTATTTCGATGGTTGTGGATATATTTGTTACAAACGTGATAGTTGTGGATATACCGCTGTATTTGGCATAGAATTTATGTCAACTTTTCCGTCAAATATTTTTGTTGAAATGACCAACATGCACTATCTCTAGGAGATTCTCGTGTTCGCGACGTCGGCTATATCAATACAAATAATTCCTTTGCTTTGATGACATGATGGCCATGTGGATCATATCATGTGTATTGTATCATTAAATAAAAAAATTATTAGGTGGCTATACTTGTCTAGGTTTGACTATTTTGTGGTACTTTAAATAAATTTGGCTATTTTGGAAAATCCAAAATTTAATGCTAATAAACGACACCTTTGTCTAACAAGGAGCCATCTCTACTAGATTGACAATTAGTAGATTGGAGTTTTTATTTTATTTTTTAATCGATGTTTGAAGTTGTATAATGAATGAAAATACATCATAATTTATATATTTTATATAGTCCGCAAGTCCGCAGCTAACAAATCGTTCATTTAATCAAAGAAAATAAAGTATGAAACTTATTCTACCTTGCTTAGTAGTGTATAGTCAAATGGGTAAAAGTGTATGCCTAAGCACTTTGTGTTTATGGAAGTAGACCTAATTATTATTTTAAGAAAGTAAACCCAAACTGTTGGCCAGCTTTAAACCTTCAATTGAATTTTGAATTGACTAAACTGGTTGGCCCAAAGAATTCGACCAGGAAAAGGGATAGTCTCCATTTGTGGAAAATGGCCCAAATTGTGACCTAATTAATCTGGTTCAACCAAGGAAGAAATGGTTGTTAAGACTAGGGATGGGCACGGCTAATTCGCGGATTGCTATCGATCCACCCGCAAATAACCCGACCCGCATGCAGTGGGTGATTAATGTGGGTGGATTGCGGATTGGTAAATCTCCCACACGCACTTATGTGAGTGGATGGTGGGTGGATTGCGGGTCACCCATATGACCAGACCCGCTTCCTATTTTTACATGAAAAAAATGTTATTTCTTATAGTATCTAATATTCATCATATTTTCGAACTGCACTACAGTTTGACCATATACTTCAAAAGGGGAAGAATAAATAATAGTTTTGACTACTATTATTGGTGCAATATCCATTAGATATTGGATATTGGTATGTAGATTATTGTTAATAACCATTAAATATTGGGATGAAAACTATAAATTATTAATTGTATCAAAATCACAAATTAATGATACAGTCTTACTAATTTTGCTTTGAACTTATTATAAATGTTAGTTAACTTTCTTAATGGCTAGTTGAAGAATTGCTTTTGCGGGTTGACCCGCGGCCCAACCGCTCCCATCCGCCACCCACCCAATCCAACCCGCAGAAGTATGTGGGTGGATTGCGGGTCACAATTATTTCAACCCGCTAGTAAGTGGGTGGGTCAATTTGAGACCGATACCCACCCAACCCGCCCATTGCCCACCCCTAGTTAAGACGTTAACTGGGATAAAGGAGGCGTAATTTTTTTTTCTTCTTCTTCTTCCTAAGCCGAGCGACTTTATTCCTTGTTGGGAAATTGTGGGTAGAGCTCTATCCTATCATAAAGAATTTCTACCCGTCAGACAAAAAGAGGAAGAAAAAAGAGAATCCGTATCTAAACAATGGACGAAACCGTCGACGGGCTGGCTCAAGATTAATGTCGATGTCGCAATCTTTGTAGGAAAAGGAACTGGTGCAGGGGTAGTAGTGCGGGACTGGACGAGATCTGTCTGCTTGCGGCAGTCCGTCGGGATCGGTGATAGTGGCGCCCGGAAATTGCCGAGCTCAAGCGATTGGGTTCGCTTTGGAAATGGTGGAAATGAAAGAGGTTCTTGGAGGTGGAAGTGGAGTCTGACTGCCTGGAATCAATCTCGAAGCTACAAGGCAAAGTGGAGTCTTTGACGGAAGAGGATGGGCTCAGTGCAGATATTCGGGCCCAAGCCCAGATGCTAGGGGTGGGATTCGGTTTGTCGGTAAACGGTTTACCGTTTTACCGAATCGTTTACCGACGGTAAACGGTAAACCGTTTACCGACGGTATCGGCGACCGAACGTGGGTTGGGGGGTATCGGTTTACCGAAACCGGTATCAGTAAATACCGACGGTAAATCGGTAAACCGTTTACCGAATCTCACTTCCCTCTCTTCCTCCCTCATTAGGTGTCGTTAGGGGTTTAGCAGCCTTTCTATTTACACGAACATAGGAACTCCTCCTGCCACAGAAATTATTGGAGCCCAGAATTCACCCACACTTCCTGTTACAACCACCAGCCATTTCCCGAATAGCCATCCCCTCACAGGAGCATTCCATCTGGTGGTTGCACCCCAGGATCACTTTCTGCTCTCGGCTTACCATAATGGCGGTCGCCCCATCATCTGTGAAATACCTATAGTCTTCTACCCCATTCACTCTTCCCAGTCAACTTTCCCCCAAATTTCATCCCCGTTTCCCGTCCACTGCCGCCGCAAGGGCGAACTCCACCGGATTCGGTTTCAGCACTTGTCGCAGTGTTCAGAGGAAACCTCCTGCGGTGTTGCGTGCCTCTACTGCCGATTTTAGCCGGAGCATCGGAGAATTGTTGGGCGAAGTCACCGTGTTCAAAGCCTCCGGTGAGCCCGTCGTGTTCAAGGATCTCTGGGACCAGAACGAGGTATTATAGCTATAGTCTCCCCTCTTCTCGGTTCCTTCTGTTTTGTTCTTTGAGCTGGATATTCATACAACTTTGATTGTGCAGGGGATGGCTGTTGTTGCACTGTTGAGACACTTTGGATGTCCTTGCTGGTAATTTGAATTTCGCTACCCCATTAATTTGATGGGGATCAGCTTTGGTTTTTACTGAGCCGCCATGGTTTCTGATTGTTGTTGTTTACTTTTTTGGCTGAAGTTGGGAACTGGCGTCAGAGTTGAAGGAATTCGGTAAATTCGGTAAACCGGTTTGTAACCGTTTCCTGGTAATTCTGTAATCGGTAAACCGGTTACAAATCGGTATCGGTAAACGGTAAACGGTTTTGCCAGTGTCGGTATACCGAAACCGGTAAATTCGGTAAACAATTTACCGTTTACCGACCGATTCCCACCCCTACCAGATGCTGGGGCAGATCATATGGAAATTTGTAAAGAGGGATTGCAACATATCAGCTCATACTATGACCACACAGCCTGTAAGTGGAATAATCAGGAAATCTAGGAGGATAGACCGCCTGTTTTTTTAATCCCGCTTCTTTTTTTTTTTTTTTTTGAAGGGAGGGAGGCATGAAAGCCAAGGTTACAGAGGCCCAGGGCCTAGGGAATCAGCAACAAAACCTGGGAAACAGAGGCTGCACAGCAGCAAAGAGACAGGGAAACAGATCCCGAAAAGGACCACCAAAAATTCAAGGAGCATTTCTCTGAATCACTTGTCGAGCGAAACTGACGCCGAGAATATCTTCATGGCAGATTCGATTGAGATCCAAGGGGGGATCATCCAATTCATACGTGCCAAAGGGATAGACGAGACTGTGCTTCGAGAGCCAGTCCGCGGCTCTATTCCCTTCACGATACGTATGAACCAAACGAACCACCCAATCTTTCGCTAAATACCGCCGAATAGCTCCTAAGATCGTCGAGTGAGGGTGCGCGTTGTCCGTTCTTCTCTCAATTAGTTGGAGCGCAAGTTGTGAATCCGACTCAAGAATTAGGAAGCGTGAGCCTTTCTTCCAGGCGAGCTCAAGGCCTTTTAGGATACCCCACAGCTCAGCCAAAATCGCGGATCCTGAGCCTAATTTGCTGACGAAGCCTCCTACCCAATCTCCATCATGATCACGAAGGATCCCTCCTGCAGATATAATACCATGGCTCCCCTGAGCGGCTCCATCGGTGTTGAGCTTGTGCCAGCCAGCCTGAGGTTTTGACCAGCCAATCAGGATTTCTTCCCTGCTAAGCGCACTGTTGTTGGAGAGAGTCCTGCTAGCTGAATCCCAAGTTTTTGCCCATTCCGTTGCTTTTGCAGTAACATAATGACGTAAAGATGGGATAGAAAGCTTGATACCCTTGAAGATTCCCTCGTTTCTGCATTTCCATAAGTACCAGATCATCAAGCTGAAGAAGCTATTCCACCTGCCCGGCCAGCTCCCCAAGGATTCATCCATCAAATTCTCATTAAACCAAGTGTCATGAGATGAATTAAAGAAGGCAGCTTGCCTTTGCTGATCCAAGAATCCATCCCAAACAGCTTTTGCTCTTCAGCAGTCACGGAGACAGTGGAGCGGGGTTTCCGAAACACCAGAACAATCCGGGCAGGAATCGTCTTGCGTTAAGTGTCTGTGTTTCCGCAGGCTGTTAGTGGAAATTTTTCCGTGAACTGCCATCCATACAAAAACTCTCACGCGCTCAGGAACTTGGAGATTCCAGACTCGCTTCCAAACCCGATTTGGTTGAGGTTCCTGATGAGGATGAATAGCTTTGTAGGCAGAATTTGCTGAGAAAAGGCCATTAGCAGTTAAACTCCAAATCCTGCTATCTTCTTCTGCGACCAGAGGATCAACGAGGGCAGCTCTGATTTTGTCCGTGATGTTACTCGGCAACAGGTGAATGAAGTCCTCCGTTTTCCAGCCTCCCTCCGCATCCCACATGTCAGCAACCGTCCTTTGCTTCCACTCTTCGGGAATTTCAGCGATAGCAAAATCAATAAGTGGTGCCTGCAAAATCCAAGGATCAAGCCAAAAATGAGTGTTTCTGCCGCTTTTAACATTAATGGCCAGACCTTTCTTAAGCAGAATAGCTGTAGAGACAAAGCTTCTCCAGGCGAGAGAACTTCCCTTTTTTTGTTGCAGAATGTTGATCCCCTCTCTATTTCCTCCATATTTTTCCAAGAGAGTTTTTTTCCATAGCGAGTCTTCTCTATTAACCAGTTCCAGCCGCCTTTAGCTAACATCGCCTGATTAGCTAATCTTGTAGGGCGAATTCCAACACCTCCTTCAGCTTTGGGGATCGTCATTTGCTCCCAGGCCACCGAGTGAAATTTAGTTTTCCCATCCTCTTCCCCCCAAATGAAACGTCTGTTGATCCTGTCCAAATCATTGCAAACAGAAACCGGCAGAAGTTCTGAAAACATAGGGTAAACAGCCATAGAAGAGGCAACAGATCTCACCATAGTGATCCGAGAGGCCAGGGAAAGGCAGTTAGATTTCCAGGTCGAAAGCTTTTTTTGGATCCGGAGAATCAGCTCCTTATACCGAGCTTTGGTCACTCTACCATGAATAGCATTGAGGCCCAGGTATCGTCCCAGATCCATGGTAAGGGGAATGTTTGCTCTATCGCTGAGTTTCTGGGCCTTGTCTCTTCTAATGTTGGATGAAACAAAAAGAACTGACTTGCTCAAATTGACCTTCTGCCCTGAACTGGAACAAAAGTCCTCCAAACATTGCTTTATGATGTCAACCTGTTTGCTCCCTGCTTCTGCAAAAAGGATGAGATCGTCAGCAAAAAAGAGATGAGACAGTTTGAGACCATGAGAAGTAATAGAGAGCGGTTTCCATTGTCCATCCGCCACTACCATCTCGATTTTGTGGGCTAGGCGTTCCATACAGAGCACGAAAAGATACGGAGATAAGGGGTCTCCCTGTCGAACTCCTCTCGACGGTGAGATAGGATCCGTAAGTTTGCCGTTCCAATTAATCTTCATCTTGTTCTCTTCTACACAAGTCATGATTCTGCTTATCCAGGTACTTGGGAGGCCCACTTCGATCAAGGTATCTCTGATGAAGTCCCATCTCAACCTATCATAGGCCTTCTCGAGATCAACTTTAATCACCACCCCTCCTTTTTTCCCTTTCCTAGAACGCAGGGAGTGAAGGACTTCCTGGAGAATAATAATGTTGTCAACAGTCTGCCTTTTCGGGATGAAACCGCTTTGGGTGGGAGCAATGAGTTGAGGCATAATCGGTTTCAATCTGTTGGCAATGGCTTTGGTGATCACTTTGAGACTGACATTGTTCAGGCAAATAGGCCTCAACTGAGCCGGAGTTTCTGGATGCTCAGATTTAGGGATGAGAACAATGTTGGACTCAAAGGTTTCAGCCGGAAGATGACCTGTTTCAAAAAAAGAAATAGCAAGATTAGCCGTATTCTTCCCCACATAATTCCACAATTTTTGATAGAAAACCGCTTGATACCCATCAGGGCCAGGAGCTGAGAAGGGTTTTATCTCAAAAATTGATTTGTGAAAATCAACAATAGTAAAGGGGCGAAGAAGTTGAAGAAGATCTCCCTGATTAATACGCGGAAAGCAGCTCTTGGGCATTCTGTCTAAGTAAGGGGATTTATCCTGGGTGTAAAGAGCGATATAAAAATTAAGCACCAGCTCCTCCAATTTTCCAGGATCATCAACCCAAATACCATTCTCGTCTTTCAGGGTCATGATTTTCTTACGACGGCGCCTCCTAGTAGCTTGCTGATGAAAGTAGGCAGTGTTCAGCTCTCCAAAAGTGACCCATTTTTCCTTAGCTCTTTGAAACCAGATAACCTCCTCTTGAGCAAGGATAGAGTCGAGATCAGCCTCTAATTTGGTTTGGAGCTTTAGAAGACCCGCGCTGAAGTTGGTAGCAAGCTTAGATTGGATCCCCTGGAGGCGAGCAAGGATCCTCTTCTTGCGGCGGTTGATGTTGCCGAAGGTCTCCTTACTCCAAATTTGGAGCTTAGTTGTCATAGCTTGCAAAGCTTGCTGCAAATTGGTGTCTTCACTCCAATTACCTGCAAAGAAATCACAAAAACGGTCGTGTAATAACCACGCCGCCTCAAACCTGAAAGGTTTATAAGCCGAGGAAACCGGGCTAGATCCAGCACTAGAAGTCAAAACTGGGAGGTGATCTGAGTGCAGCTTAGGAAGGTGTTGAACAACAGTCATAGGAAAAGCAGTGTTCCAATGAGAATTGCACAAAGATCTATCAATGCGGCTAGCTTTGCGAGTGAGTCGGGAGCTTCCTCTGTACCAGGTGTAACAAGGACCTGAAAAACCCCAAATCAAAAAGATTAGCTTGATCAATCCAGTCAGCAAATTGTTGGCAGCGTCTAAGAGCAGCGGGAGAGATTGATCCAGATTTTTCCGAAGGGAGGCGATAGGCATTGAAATCCCCAGTGATGAGCCAAGGGATGTCAATTGTTCTGCTAGTGTGAATCAGCTGGTCCCAGAGATGCTTATGATAGCTGTAAAGAGGGATGCCATAAACACCGGTTAGTAAGAAATCACCCGAGGCAAAGCTACTGCACTTGACAGTTAAATGTTGATGGCTAGCATCAACGAGTTGCACATCAAAATCATCCGCCTTCCAAGCTAACCAGATGCCTCCTTTCCTTCCTACAGCATCGATTCTAATGACTTCTCCGAAGCCCAAGCTGCTGCAAACGCGATTAGCTCTTTCACCACTGATCTGAGGCTCAAAGAGAAATAGGAATTGAGGGCTGTAAGTCTGAACTAGAAGATTAACAGCTCGTCTAAACTCCCTACTTCCTGCACCACAAACATTCCAAGCAAGCACTTTTACATTAGTAGAACTAGACATGGGGAAAGAAGGGGGAAGAAAGTAACTTAAATAAAGAAAAGGGCGAGATCGCAGGGATCAGGAAATCAAGCAAGGTTCGTGGTCGTGGCTGCCGAGCCTCCTTGGTTAAAAGCGGCCAGATTTCCCTGGGTATCGACGGCATCAGCGGGCGTCTCCGACTGGGTCGCGTGAAGATCTTCCTCCATGGATACCTCACTTGACCTTTCCGCAACCAGCTTCTGGAATTCAGATATTTTGGAATTTGAGTGAGCACAGAATTCTTCAATGTCTTTGATGGTAAAGGGGAAGACTCCATCTTTAGCTCTCTTGGCATTATCTCTGGAGATTGAGCTTAATTGGAGAGGCTTCTTGGGAGATTTGATGCTGATTCCCCTGTTCTGGATAGTGTTCAGGGCTTTTGTTGGTTGCTTCTTTTGTGACCGTTGGCGCGATGGTCTTCCACAAGAATTTGGGTTTTGATTTTCCTTGGTGCTGTCAACGAGAGATGGAACAGAGATGATCTGGATCTTAGTGTTGTTCGGGCCTTGGAGGGCCTTGGCCGTAATTGAAGTAGAGGTGGAAGCAGTGTTTTGGGCCTTGTCTTTCGAAAGGGCCTCCATGGGTTGGGCTAGGTTAAGATCCATTGCTGACGAACCAACCACCCTCCACTCTTGAGCAGCCGCTCCTTTCTTTTTTCCGTTGGGGACGGAGGCATCGATCAAGGTTGATTTCCCTTTCTGTAAGCTGGAAACTTCCTTTCTCTGTCCCTCTTTACTTTCCTTTTTACCTTTCATCTCCAAATCAGACTTTCCCTTGGAAGATGATTTGGGAGCCGATCGCCCGGAATCTGCGCCAATTGCGGAGGAATTGATTTGGTGGTTACCCGATTTTGCCTTTGTCACTTTCCGCGTTTTTCGCGTCACCTGCATCCACGGGCCATAGCCGGCAGGGACATCCGACGGAGGAGGAACTTGGTACGCGTTGCTATCGTTGCCGGGAACGATGGCCAAAGCCGTCTCCATATGGTTTTCATTGGCAGGGCACTTTTCTTCAATATGTCCGATTTTTCCACATCCATAGCAGATATGGGGGAGGTTCTCATAAGTGATTCCTTGCCATTTGCCATCCAGATGAATTCTCGTCGGCAGAGGTTTTGTCATATCGAGATCAATTGCCATGCGAGCAAATTTTCCCCTTTGAAGATTTTCTGTATGGTAGTCAAGCTTAATCGTCCTTCCAATTAGGTTGCCAATCGCAAAAAGAACTTCGCGATGGTAGAAATGAACTGGAAGTTCTGGAAATTGCACCCAGGCTACCACTGATCTGTGCGGCTTGTCAGAGACACGGAAGTCCGGTGACCATGGATGTACCAGGAGGTAGTGATCGAGGATCACCCAAGGTCCTCCCGAGAGCGTTGTTAGATAATCTTGATCATTGCTGCAAGTAACAAGAAAAGTTTCATTGTTTAGGTCTATGATGTCCAGAGCTCCCGACGGCCGCCACTTCCAACGGAGTTGAGAACAGAGGTAAGCATAAGAGACGGATCTTCCCAATAATCGCACCACCAAGGTCTTCTTCCAGGGTTGGCACAATCTTTCTTTGAAAGTTTCCGATAGATTTAGGGCCGGTTCCCCATTAAAGTCCCCTGGAATCATGTCATGTTCGCCGACGAAGGTCCATGTGCTCCCCTTCGACGGTTGCTGGGAAGACTGGCCTGTCAGAGCATTCCTGTAAGAGATGGTGGCGGTGGCGGTTTCTGGGCTGGGTTCAGAAGGCTGAGAGATTCCTTGAGGTTGCAGGGGCGGCGGTGGGTCTGGCGGCTTGCCCGCCAGCGGAATAGTTGTCGCTGACGGATGCACCATAAGTGGTCTTAATGCGGAATGTAATCCTCTTGATGGTTGAATAATATAATATCCCAGGTCTTCTATAAAAAAAAATTAGGCAAAATACACTTGTATAGCCAAAACTTTAACGTTTGTGCTAATAATAGCCAAATTTGGAGAAATACCACTTATAGCCAGCTTTTAAAGTTGTTGTAGGACAAATATAGTCATTTCCGTGAAATACTTTAACGGTGTTAATAACACCGTCAACTTATTTAACAGTTCTCTGACTAGACGCCAACTCAGCGGAGATGTCATCGCCAAATAAGCAAATAGTGACACGTCAGATATTTCAATTATTTCATATTTACACATCATAAATTAAAAAAATTACCCTTTCCATCTTCCCCAACTCCGTCGTGTTCGCCAACTCCGGTGGCAACAGTCAGCCCACCTGCCCACCGAGTCTGCCGCTGAAACCCGTCTCGTCCTCCTCTCCGAAACGACAAATAGAAAGCACAAAGCATGACGATGCTGACGGAATCACCAAACCAACACCAGCAACCACCACCACCTTCTTCCATACCCCTCCGCCGCTGGAAGACAGAAGTTATGGTGTCATTCATCTTCAAGTCATTTCGGGTTTACACACCCAGAAGCAGCAACGTTTGACTTGCGTTGCACTTGCATAAACACCCCCACCACACCCACGGCCACGAGTTGAGCTCTCTCTGTTCTTCTCTAATAGCGGTTCTTCTTCATCTTCTTGTTTCACCTTTTTCGCTGCTCGTTACCCATGTTCCCAGCTCTCAAGCCCATTTTGTTGCTTCGATTAAGTTTCCGGATAGAACAAATTTCCAATTTCCACCTTTGGGGTTTCATTCCTCCCTCGATTCTCAGTTTCTCTTATTATTTGTCGCTCCGTTTTTTCCCCCAAAAGTACTCGAATTTTCAATTTTGACATAATTTCCTCTCCTACCCACTCCCTGTAGTGAAATTTCTCGACCTGGGTTCTCGTCTGTTTTTGGAATTGGCATGGATTGCAGATTCGGATCCTCCAATTCAAACGACATTATGATGGATCTTCTCGAGCTTGTGGTGGTCGTTAAGGACGGAGAGAGGGGTCCCTAGCAGGGGCGGATACATGACTCTCTAGGGGTGTCCCGGGACACCCCTAAAATTTGGGGAAATGATTATCCAACCTCCGCTAGTAGTTTCGTATGGGTATACAAAATATAATTGGTAATCCGGAACACTCTAATATTTGAAAAAATGATTATCCTACCCTCGATAATAGTTTGCTTATGATTAACAAAATATAAGTGGTAGTCCGTGTTATTCCAACCTAGGACACTACTATTATCAATTGATACTATTATTCCAAACATATTCTAATTATGTTGCTACTCATTAGTTATTCTATTTTAAACATCATGCAACAGTAAAATGCTATTTCTTTATCCCTAACTATTTTCAATACCTAATAATTAAACTACGTACACGCTACCCTTAATTTGAATTGATTTTATGGTTACACGGCAAGTGTTGAAAGGGTCTTTTCTACTTTGAGCTACATTAAGAACAAGGTTAGAAATCGAATATGTGATAAGTTCGTGAAGTATTGTCTAGTAGGATATGTAGATTTTTTTTGAACAGTGCAGACATGGAGTTTATTTATATTATTTTTCAAAATATGAATTTTAATTTATTATTTAATAAAAAATTTATACAAATTATACAAGTACGATATTTTTAATATACAAATTATTTAATTTATTATATAATTAAATTTAATTTTTGAAGAGGACACCCCTGTGAAAATTTTCTGAATCCGCCACTGGTCCCTAGTGATCGGATTGCTGTTTTCCGTGTGGGGAAGGTAAGCGCGTAGCGGATTAGGGGCTGATAGAGTACCTCCATCTTCCGGCGCCGATTAGACTCTATACCCACTAAAAATCATTCCTCCATCTCGTCTAAATCCATCCCCGATGAATTCATGTTATTCATTCTCTTTATAAGGCTTGTTTTGTTATTGCTAATTGCTTAATTGAGTCCCCTGATCTATGAATTGAACTATTGGTGTTGGTTTGTGTATAACAGGGTTGGTGCCAATCTAGGGTACGTCTTAGTGAACCACCTCCATCGGAGCATCGAGATTCAAAGCGTCTTTCCAGAACTAATATTTGTGGGAAGAGGTGGTGCCGCCAACCAACCGAGCTTGTGGTGGTCGTCAAGGACGGAGAGAGCATAGCAGACAGGGACGGAGCCAGCGTGTATGATGGGGGGCCATGGCCCCCCCCTAAAGTTTTAAAATAGCATAAAACCTGAGTAATGAACATGAAAAACAATGGCAGTGTAGTGGTTAAGGATGTAGTTTATAGTCCTCTGCCCTATAGAGGTGGATGTTTCAAATCCCTGCACCAGCATTTTTATTCATGTTTTTTCACGTTGCTGTTTATAATTAAGTGGGTTTTATATAAAAAACATTTTGGTCACTGAGATTACTAAATCGTGTCATTTTTAGTCACTAGAAAAATTTAGGGTAATGTATATTTTTTATCCAAATCTTTTTCAGATTCTTTTATATCATCCAAACCTATTAAAATACTATTAATTAACCAAATTTTTCGTAATGCATCAAAATATTAGCCATTTTTACGTTATCGTTAATAATTTTGTAACTCTTTTCTTAGTTAAAATACTAAAATTTTGGAATGTTTACCTTCATGTGTCTCTTCCAAGTCAGTATCATGTTGTCAAGTCAATATTACTAACAAAATTGCTAACTGAAAGTTAACATTTGGTTAATTCTTAGTATTTCGATAGGTTTGGATAATATAAAAGAATCTGAAAAATGTTTGGATAAAAAATAGACATTACTCAAAAATTTAATATCAATTTTGGTCACTCGAATTATTGAAACAGGTCACATTTTGTCACTCTCATGTTAGTTTCCGTCCAACTCCACTAACTATTTCAATAATTCGAGTGACTAAATGTAACATGTTTCAGTAATTCGAGTGACCGGAGTTGGACGGAGGTTAACATGAGAGTGACTAAATGTGACCTGTTTCAGTAATTTGAGTGACCAAAATTGATATTAAAAATTTTCTAGTGACTAAACATGACACGATTTAGTAATCTCAGTGAGCAAATGTAGCATTTACCCGATTTTAATGTGATATGTATATGTTTTTACATATATCTTGAATTTTTTTTACAGTTTTGATAAAAATTTAAGTGGGTTTTATATAAAAAAAATTTTGAACGATTTAAATGTGATATGTATATGTTTCTACATATATATTGAAAAAAATTTCGGCCCCCCCTAATCAAGAATCCTGGCTCCGTCCCTGATAGCAGAGCTATCACTTTCTCGATTGAGAATCGAGCTCGGTGGCTCAGGGATCTGGGGACTCAGTTGCAGTAGAGAGAGCGTGGCCTGGAGAGAGAGAGAGAGAAGGAGTTGTCGGAAAGGTGAAGAAGAAGATCGGTCGAACAGAGCGGTGGCGGGGGAAACAAAAGGGGAAAGAGAAAATATTTTTTTATTTCTTTTTCTTTTTCTTTGTATTTTGTATTTTAATTTTTAATTTTTTAAAGTTGAATCCACGTGACAATGTTACTGACGAAACGTAGTCATGTCACTGTTTCTGTTAGTCCAGTCAGCTTGTTAGATGACACCGTTAAAGAATTGGACGGAAGTGGCTATAAGTGGTATTTCTCCAAATTTGGCTATTATTGATACAAACTAGAAAATTTTGGCTATACAAGTGTATTTTGCCAAAAATTTATTATTGTGGAAAGTTCATTCATTATTTTTCAAATACTTTCCCCAAAGTACTGAATCTGAGGGAGATCTTCTGAATTTTGCTAAATTGTGAATGCCGCCTCCCTTCTCCCATGTTTTTCAAGGCGAATTATGCTCTCTTTGATGTGACCCAGTTGATTAGTGAATAGTGAGACAAATTAAGGGCTTAAATATTCGAAACACGCAAAAAGAGATGAGAATTACTATTCGTCGCTCTAAATTTTAAAATTTTATCGCCCTAAATTAAAAAATAGATGCATTTATCACTAGTCCTAATTTCTACCATAAACCACAAATGAATAATCTCATCGGATCAAACCAAAAAAAAATCTTGTCGGCGCGGCGAAGCAAACCAGAGACGAGAGAAGAGAAAGCCTCCACCTTACGCTTAGCATTCTTTTGTCTGCCCCATTCGCTCTGCGATTCTCCTAAGGAAGCTTTCTGAAATCAATTCGCCCACTCCAATAACAACAAAATTTTCCTAAGTACATTTTAGCACTTAGCACATTACGAAAACCATGGATGGCTGACAGTAATGGTGTTTCCAGGACATCCCTACCATACTCCCTGTTTTTTTCCCCATCTCAATGACCAAATCTGATGTCAGACGTTCTGTTAACATCCCTGCCCCCATAGCCAAATAAAAAGACAAGAGATTTCATTGCTATACTACTAGTCCTTCCACACAGAAACAGGAAATGCAGCCACTAGCCTCTCCCCGTCCCAATCTCGCCGGAGAGAAGAAAGGTGGCTGCCTTCTTCTTCGTCTTCTTCATCCTCCGGCTTGGGATCGACTCCGGCAGAAGAAGCAGAGCACCAACGGCGGTCTGGTTAAGGTGGACAGCTGCCGGAGAGAAAGAATCCACAGAGATAGCAGCGTCGGGTTGACGTCAGCTGGGCAGGGCAGGGTAAGGGATTGCTTGTTTAGTGTTTTGGTTAGAAATTGGGGCCAGAGGATAAGATTGTCAATTTGGTATATTTTAGGGCGACAAAATTCAAATTTTAGGGCGGCGAATAGTAATTCAAGGGAAAGAGTTGATAAAATTTCACAAGAGGTCCCTGAACTTTTTGACTTCATAAATTAACCCATGGAACTCATATTTTCTTTATGGAATTTTTTTTATTATGAATTTTTTTTGGTATGGAACTTGTTTAGCTTTATAGGCGAAGGAAGAGAGCGAGAGAAGGGATAGCGGACGATCATGCTTGAACCGACGACAATTCAGTCGAGTGTAGGCAAGCAACGACTTAGAACTACAATTGTCGATGATGGATTGATTCGACAAAATTTGTAAGAGCATAAGTGATTTGGTAAGTTTACAATTGTAAGTGTTTCGGTGGAGTATAACAACAACTCATAACCACAATTGCTGATGATGGTTTGGTGTTATAAAATCAGTAAGATAATAAGTTATTTGTATATTGGGCTAGTTTGGCACTGTTGTGACTTTTGCAGAAGCAACTTCTAGTTTAAGCTTTTAGAAAAGTACTTTTCAAAAAAAGTAGTTGAGTGTTTAACGGAAAAACTATTAGAAATGCTTTTTAATATGAGAAGTTGTGTAAAATGACTATAAAAGACCTATAATATAAAATAAGAATAAAAATTCTAAAGAATAAAAAGTAGTCAAAATGGATCTTGCTAGATTTATTTTATATTAAATAATATAATTTTATAATTTATTTTATTGTAAAATTTTAAATAAAAATATAATTTATTTTATTTATAAAATGATATAAATGACATAAAATTATATTACTGAAATAAAATTAAAATATGGTAAAAATAATCTTGTAATTTCAAAATAGCTTTTTGCAGAAGCTCTAAATCGGAGCTTCTACTTTTATGTTATACAAAAGCGCTTTTCAACTTTTCAAAAGCTAAGCTTTAGAGGTGTTTGGCCTTGTCTCAGCTTTTGAAACCGAAAAGCACTTCTAAAAGTCGGGCCAAACATAGAGATATTGTTTAAGCAGAAATGCAAAGATGTAGAGTGTGATAATAAAACATGTTATGTATTCCATTAAAATGATAAATGTTATTAAAAATTGAAATCAAAGGTAGGGCTTAAAATCACTCTCTAGTATGTGTTTGGCTGAAATTGTGTTTATAGTACGATCTTGATCCATTTATGTCAGTGTGGTTATTTAAATTTTAACCTCTTCGGGTAAACATTTAAAAGTTTGAGCAAGCATGTGTTTCTGATTTTTTTTTTCCATTTCCATTTAGTAAGTTGAATGAACCGACGATAAATTTTCATTTACATAAATTGATGCCTATTTAGAATATGAAATAACGAATTATGGCTCATGCGTGCAACTTGATATGTTTGTTAAATTAAATTTTTTTTATCGATCATCAATCATTGATATCTATATTTAATCTAATATGGACGATAAATATATAATACTTTTATTTTAAAGTATAATTTATATGTTGTCATTTTATTCCACCATAATCAATAATTAATTGACAATCAAATCGATATGAGAGAGAATAAACAGACTAAAAAATAATCCCTACCTATTACTTCCTGTCAATCATTCTCTCCTTGCTAGTACAAACAATGAAACAAATGATAGGGACCGGATACGGTGACAACCAAGGGTATTTTGGGTATGAAAAAAAGGAATATATTAATTACTTTTTTTTGTATTAATCAGATTGGGAATTAATACCCCATATTAAATACAATTTTTTTTAAATTTAAATCCTATACATTAATATCTCTATCTATCTCTCTTTCTTCCTTTCTCTTGCGGCCACTCCGCTTCGATAGATAGACTTTTTCTCCGGCGAATTCTCTCCGCCAGACTCCCTCCGGCAACCTGAAAAAATGTACCAGTGCGTTAAAAAGTGTACCAATCCATTAGTCTACTGGTAATTAATATACCAGTGCTAGTGGTACGCTACTAGTGCGTTAAAAAATGTACCAGTGCTAGTGGTACAGTATCATTACCACTTGTAGCAGTCAACGGCGGATCCAGGGGGTGGCCACCCCGGGCCCCAGCCCAGCCCTCCTCTGGATCCATAGTTAATATAGACCTTATGAATTTTTCGATTTTAGATATCCGGGTCGTTGTTATTTTACAATAAGATTGAGTATAATTAGAAAAATGATTCAGATGAACATATTCAAAATCACTACTCTAAATTAGCTTATAAATTCTAACCCCAAAGGTTATTTGTCTAAAAAAACAATGAAACCTAAAAATACAAAAAGTATAAAACGTAAAAGACTAAAACATATATGAGGTTTGTTACCTTGAAAATTTACTAGAGCAGCTGGTGGATATAGGGATGGAAACACAATGCAAATTGATTAGTAGATTGATTTGTCTAGTGTTGATGCTGCTCGTTTCAACAGCTAATACGAAGAGAACCTTTTCAACAATGAAACATGTGAAAATTGATTTGCGCAACAAAATGAGCGATGAATTTCTAGTCGATTGTTCAAGTATTTTATTTGAAGAGTGTATACTATTGGGATGGATGTGGACTCTTTTATTAATGCATTCGCTAAATTAAAATACAGTCGTGTACAATTTACATTGTAAAAAATTATAGTATTAATATTTTTTTTACTATTCTAATTTTCTAATAAAATGCGGCCCAGTGCACTTTTGTGTTCTGGATTCGCCGCTGGTAGCAGTACCATTAGCAGTACCAGTACCACTGGTAGCGGTACCAGTACCATTGCCACTGGTAGCGGTACCATTGCCACTGGTAGCGTACCACTAGAGACTAGCACAAAAAAATCAGATCTGAAATATGAAAAATCACAGATCTGGAAAAAAAATCAGGGATGACGAAAGGGGGAGGCAGGGGAGAGGCGGTGACCTCATGGTGACGGTTCGGGTTGGATCCGGGCGGCGGCGGCGGCGGAGGGGATTCGTTTGACGTGAGGTTGAGTTTGAGAGGGAGGAGAGGCGGGACGTTGGTGGTGGAGATGAGCTCCGAGGTATTGATGGCGAATTCGGAGGTTTTGGGAGAGCTGGTGGCTGAGTACAGGAAGGGGGCTCACAAGGTGAATCGTAGTGATAGTAATGGTGGTGGTAGAAGGAGTAGATCGATGAAGGTTTGCATAATTGTGAGAAAGAGAGGGAAGAGATGGGAGGAAGAAGAAGAAGAATAGGAAGAAAAAAGATGGCGTGAGAGAGAGAGGAAAGAGAGAATGTAGGGTTTTAGGTATTAATAGGGTAATAATTTAGTGTGGTCAATTTTTTTCGTCCAAAAATACCCTTAATCCAATCTGTACCATTGATTTGAAAAAAATAAGAAAGAGACAAGAGAGAGAATGAATCCTATGGTTATAAAATGGGTTGTCAATCTCACAACCGCTAATGGGGTTGTCACCGTATCTCATCCCCAAATGATACTCTCTTCTTAATGATTCTTGTGATCTCAACCACTAACATACATAATTGCATTGAGTTTAGGCACATAACTATAATCCTTATCGTCTCCTTAATTCAATAAAAAATCAAAACTGATGAAACACTAACCATCTTATTTCCTTCCCTCCAAATTTGAGGATAATAATTTCCAAGATTACAACATTAATGCCCAGATATCCTACATAAGGAGCTTAATTTGTATGCTTAAACAAGTTGAGTGACCAAAGTACAGCTGGAAAGAAGTTGAGGTACCCATTGCGGCGGTTTATTAATAAATAAAAGAATTTTTTTTAATGTCTTTATGACTTCAAAAAACTTCGGAGCATAAAGAAACAGTTTATAAGTGTCATGATCGTTTTTACCACACACAGCACGAAATCTGCTTGCGAGTGCGACGGCCTTTTCCCATTGCTCATTTTGAATGGAACAACTAACCACCACAGATGACTCATTCTCCCCTTCCCGACGTCGCCGCCTCCTCCCTCTGCCGCCATCGTCAAAGCCGCCGGAACCTTGACTCGACTCCCGATTCCTTCAGATTTTCGCCTAATTGCTTTCAAATTTCCGTTAGCCTTGATCGCCTCGACAGCCTCTTCTCCGCCTTTGCCGCGACTTCACTTCTCGCCGTCGTCCGACTCCGGAAGCGCTGTGAAGTGAAACCGCGTGGTTTTTTCTAATCTCGTCTGACGAGCGCTGTTTTCTTTTTGTATACTCGCCATGAATGAACGGAACTCGAGTCAAAGAGGCAGCAGCAGTGAAGCTCTGTCGTCAGAGGCGGCGGGCGGAATTCCGACCGGTTTGAATCGGATTAAGACTCGGCGAGTCTCGTCCAGGGAGAAACTCAGTTCGAAACATGACGAATCGTTCGAGTACAAGGCTCGTGAACCTCCCCGGCCGCCGCCTCCGTTCCGTGGGAAAATCAAGCAGCAGAAGTCGCTGGCTCGCGGACAGGGAGCCGGCAGCAGCCCTTCCTCGAGAGCAGGTGATTTTTGCAATCTCCTTTTTCTGTTAATTTCTTCGGTTCGTTCTGTTTGCAGTTAGATTTCCCCGTTTTTTTTGTTGCGATATTTTTTGGCTTCTGGAATGCCTGCGGTTTTCTTTCCGGCATGAGTTAGCAGCTTAGCTACCATGGCGCAATCAATATAACGGTTCGGAGATTAACGCCATCAAACGCTCGCAATTGAATTGGAAAATTCAGTTTTGGCTGTTTACAAGTTCGTGCTGTTTCCAACTGCTGTTGTAATGGTCAAAATGATGTATATAGCTCCATGATAAGTTTAGGGAGGAACAATCGATTTTGTTTTCCTGCAATATCCTTTTTCATTTGTTTTTGAGTCATCTCTTTGTCGAATGAAGAGAGTTCGTAGTAAATTGTTGCAACAATTTGAGTACTCAGTAGTCTGATGCTCTCCTCAGAAATATAGAATTTGGGACCGTTGGGTGGAGAATCGCCATATTGCCGTCATCAACTTTTGGCAAACAGGTGAAGCGTGAACCGTTTCTGTGATATTGTGTTGTCTGAATGTTGGTGCCTTACGAGAAGTTAATGTGACGAATCGCATGAACTGTTCCAGTGCTTCATGTTTTTGTTTCTGTGAACCATGTTCTCACTCTCAGGGAAAGGTATAGTTCTAAACTTCTAATCTAAACGAAGTCTGAAAGAAATACCAATACAGTTCTTTGTTTCAGTTAGAAGTCGACAATGTTCGCATGACTTACAGAACTTAGTTTTAGGCCTTAACTAGAAGTCGAACTTGCATTGAGATGCGATTTTGTAATCTGAAAATGTTTTATTCCTTCTCGTAGAACATTGGCATTTTTAAAATAATTGGAAAAAGGAATGATACCGATATACTACGAATGCTCACTTTTGGCATTTGGTTCATCCTTCACAAGTTGATGTAGTGTTGGGACTTATGGTAGGGCTTTTCAATCTTGGGAAGTATTTTTTCCTTTAGATGAGCTTATATATTTAGATTATGTCATCTGCTGATGGTTAGACATGCTGTACATAAACTACTTACTACAACTAAATTTTTTGACATGGATGACTTCATAAATGGTGATCACGCAACGAGGAAATCACAAATCTAACTTCACTTGAGGTGCGATTGGAGATGAAATGGCAACTGGTTTCTTAGGATTTCTAGGTTTATATGTTGCTGGAGCAAACTGATAGGTTCTCCTTGCTGGAGACTGTTTCATCATTGTGTGACTTCCTCATTCAGCTATTACTTAGTAGTCATTTGATATTGTTCATTAACAAAGTTCATGATGTAGGGTGAAAACGTTACGACTGGTTTCCTGTTAGTTGAGTAAAAGCTATAGTTTAACCACAGGGCATTTTTTTATCGTCTTTCGACTTTTCGTTGTTGTCTTGCTTGCAAAAGAGGAAAACAGAGAATCTGAGTGCATGCTCTTTAGTTTTTTTTTTTTTGGTGAAATTTCTGTAATCATCAAGCCTGCGAATAACCATCTGGTGCTGCACTTATGAAGGTGAACAGCACAAAGGAAAGAAGATCGCTCGATGGTTCTCATCATATTTTTCAAGGGATGCTGGTCATCTTATTGGCTCCCCTATGGTAACTTTCTGTTAAACATTTCCTTACCCACTTCTTATGTTGCATCTGAAATGAAGGTTCTAAACAGTTGCATGGCTGATAGGAGAGTGGCGCTGAAGCTGGAACTCTTGAGAAAGATGAACCAACGGGAACCAGATTCTCAAATGCAGGAAATCATCAAAGTCAGGAACAATACTCTACTGAGAGTCAAGTCCAAAGTCGTAGTAAGGGGACAAAAGTCTTGAAAAGCTTTTCTCATGAAATAGGACTGCAGAGCAGTATTACAGCTCCCCCTCCTCGGGCTCAGAGTTTTACCGATTTGAAGGTATCTCTTTTTAATTCATTTTTATAATGTTGATCTCATTTTATGATTTGTAGGTATCTCTTAAAAGTTTGGCTCTGTGAGGAAGCTTGTCTACATCTTCAAATTTTCTCTAGGAATAAAGCTTAAAAACTATTCATCATTTGCATATCTCATGTACAATTCCTTCATTTTTCATAAAAATACTCAACATGAGAATCAAAATAACTAGTCTCCATTAAAACCAACATCCACTTTGCTATTAACTCTCTGCATATCCATTCTCTTCTCTTTTCTGAACTTTTCTCCTTCGTTGATATCAGGAGCTACTGGGATCTTTCCACTCAAGATTTGATGCAGCCGAAGAATTGGCTAAAGTAGAACTAGCTACTTTTACCACAGATGTCACGGATATACTTAATAATATTGACTCCTCATCGCAACAAGAGTTTAACATGGCACAAGATCTTCTTAGTGTTGCTCAACTGTGCATGGAAATGACTAGTCCTCAGTTTCGTGCAAAGTGTGAAGAAATTGTTCAAGATCTAACTGAGAAGAGGAAAAATTGTCAAACAGGACTTCTCAAGTGGCTATTTACTCGCATACTCTTTATCTTGACCCGGTGCACTAGAGTACTGCAGTTTCAGAAAGAGAGCGAACCAATTGATGAAATGACACTCAATAAGTTGAAGAAGTGTCTAGAAAGGATTCCATCTGTGGAATTGAGCTGGCCAGCTAATTATGGGATTGCTGATTCTGGTTCGGTTGCTGCTCCTCCGAGTAAGAAGGGTAAAATAAAACCAAAACTGGAAGGACAAGATAATTTGTCTTCTCTACCCGAGGCAACATGTTATGGCTCTGCACAGAACGATGCAATTTTAGGAAAGGTTTCCTTGGATCTTGAACAAAGGTTGACTTCTCAAGAACCTAGAGCTGATGCTCTCTCACAAGTGCAGCAGTCAAGTCAAGCTGGTAGTGATTCCAGTTGTCTACTATTGGAGCAGGGACCTAATTCAGATGAGTTGCTTCGTAGCCAAGAAGAGCATGTTGTAGATGGATCCGATACAGTAATCTGCAGGATATGTGAAGAACTTGTTCCAATTGCTCATTTGGAATCCCACTCTTATATATGTGCTTATGCAGACAAGTGTGACGTAAGTTGCCTAGATTTGGATGAACGCCTATCAAATCTGGCTGATGTACTTGAGCAGATTGTTGATTCGCGAAATATGAACTCTCACCCTTCATATGGTAGTCCTTCAAGCAACTCTGTCACAACTGAAGGTTGCTCTCCTAAGGTTAGTGAATGGAGAAACAAAGGTGTGGAAGGAATGTTTGAAGACATACATGAGATGGATACTGCTAGCATAGATGAGCCCAATTTATCATTATTTAACTTAAAGACCCATTTGGGTATAAAACTAAGCCACCATGGAACACCATCTTCAACTGGGAGTGTAGCCTCAGTTTCCTCCACAAATTCCCCTATGGCTGGTCACTTTGATTCCTTCTGGTTAGAACATAACAATCCATCTGAGCTAGAGGATGCTCAACAGGTATTTTCAGTATTTTTTCTTCTTCATTGATGAATGACAAGGACTTGTTTTTTATTTTACTTCTGGCATTTGCCTAAATTTTATGCGGATATATTATGTGCTTTTAAGTTTCCATTACCTTACAGTTTTTTTTCTTCCATTGTGAAGATGGCTGATCTTGCAGACATAGCCCGTTGTGTTGCTAGTACAGATGTAACAAAGGATCCTTCCTGTGAGTTTCTACTGGCATGTTTGCACGATTTGCAGAGTGTTCTGCAGCGTAGTAAACTCAAAGCTCTAGTAATAGACACTTTTGGGGGACGGATAGAGAAGCTTCTAAGGCAAGTTTAGTTATGGATCATGCCTCCTGTATTATTATTATTTCCTTTTTTCTCCTTGGGAGTATTAATGCTGCCTTTTGTACACTAAAATGTGCAGGGAGAAGTATTTAGTTGCTTGTGACCTGTTGGATACAAAAAGTCCAGGTGGTGCCAAACTTAAAGAAAATTCTAGATTTCTGCTGGATAATACGCCTCAAAGTAGTGCAGGATCAACTCCTCTACATTCAGCACATAGAGATCGGACAAGCATTGACGATTTTGAGATTATAAAACCAATAAGCAGAGGTGCCTTTGGGAAAGTATTTCTTGCACGCAAAAGAACAACAGGAGACTTGTTTGCAGTCAAGGTAAGCTAACGGAAACCTCTTTCTGTCAGTAAATCCAACTGTATATACCGTTTAATACACGTATATGTACCCGTACGTACTTTATCCGTTTAAAAATTCCGTATCCGTATTATTGTCAAGCCGTTTCATTAGTTTTCGTTCATTTGACGGCTCCCGTGCTAAACACGTATAAAATCGTATAACACGTTTAATATTCTTATTTAATGAAATAAATTATTAACTTTACTATTTGTTACATATTTATTTATTTATAAAAATAATTAATTTTATTTATTTATGACTATTAACGTACTATTAAATGTAACATTAACTAGGAAACGAAGTATAATACCCGTACGTATTTTATACGTAACTTTCCCGTACCGTATTTTACTAACTATGCAACGGTAGCAATTGGGAACTTTATTGTTTATTTATTTTACTATGCCTCCTCTAGGCGAGGTAATCAAGGTTGAGGCTGATATGAGTTGTGTTCATCAACTGTAAGGATTTTTGCTTGTTAATTAACTGTTAACTATCTCCAACAATAAAGGCACTACATTTGAACATGTGCAGGTGCTCAAGAAGGTGGATATGTGGCGTAAAAATGATGTTGAGCGTATATTAGCCGAGCGTAACATACTTATAGCCGTTAGAAATCCATTTGTGGTGAGGTTTCAATAGCAGCTGATGACATAGTAAAATCACTATTTTTTGTTGTGTAGTCTGCATATATATTGCTAAACTGGATTTATGTTCCTTATTTTTCAGGTCAAGTTTTTCTATTCTTTTACCTGCAGAGATAACCTGTACTTGGTTATGGAATATCTCAATGGTGGTGATTTATATTCTCTTCTGAGAAAAGTTGGTTGCCTTGAGGAAGATGTTGCCCGTGTATATATTGCGGAATTGGTATGTGGCAATCAAATGTTGGAGACTTATCCCGTTTATCAGGTTCTTAATTTGACTATTTACTTGGTTGGATTTTGTTTGCTCACAGGTTCTTGCTTTAGAGTATCTCCACTCCCTTGGCATTGTGCATCGTGATCTGAAGCCAGACAACATATTAATTGCACATGATGGCCACATCAAGGTCAGGAATATAGTATCGGTAATTAGACATGGCATGCATACTAAAGTGGTTACAGTATGGTTGAATTGATGATATGTTCATGGTTGCTTATTTCACCAGCTTACAGACTTTGGGCTATCAAAGATTGGGCTTTTGAACAACACAATTCAGTTGTCAGGACCCGGGACAACTGAAGGCATAATGTTAGATCTTTTCGATTCCCATGAGCAGCAAACAGAAGACAAAAGCCAACATTCTGCAGTCGGAACACCCGACTATCTGGCCCCTGAAATCCTTCTTGGAACGGAGCATGGTTTGTCTGCTATCTGAATTTCTTTTCTGTCAAGCCTTTAATCGGTAGTTGAACTTATGGCTTCAATCCGTCTGTAACAGGTTATGCTTCAGATTGGTGGTCGGTAGGAATAATCCTCTTTGAGCTTATTACTGGAATTCCACCTTTCACTGCTGACCAGCCTGAGGTACATGCTTAAGTATTTCACTTATCCCATTTTTTTCCCCTTATACTTTAATAGTCATCGGGCTAGGGAATTTGTGTGGGCTAATTTCTTTAAACATGACGTGTTTGCCAGATGATATTTGACAACATCCTCAACAGAAAGATTCCATGGCCTTCTGTTCCTGGTGACATGTCTCGTGATGCCCAAGACTTTATCAACAGGTGGGCTCAGTGATGATTTGCTGGTATTTATGTCAGTTATTCATTAAACATCTAATTCTCCTTCCCGTCAAAAATCTTTTATCCATTATCATCAGTTTACTGTGGGATCACTGAACCTAATCCTTTGGATCTGTAGGTTGCTTATCCATAACCCAGATCAACGTTTAGGAGCAAACGGCCCGTCCGAGGTTGTATTTAAGATTCGTTGTCCAGACTTTGATGTTTCTTGTTATGTTTGTATTTCGCCGAATCATGCTCCAAAGTCTGCTGCTTTTTGCTTGCTAGAAATGCTTGCAAAAGCTCTGAAAGATTACTGTACTGTACAAACTACTTCTGACATCCGAGTATTGTTGGGCTATTTTGTAGGTTAAATCGCATCCCTTCTTCAGAGGTGTCGACTGGGACAACCTTGCTTTGCAAAATGTGAGATATTCATTTCGATTTGATACCGGCAAACTGTAGGATGTATCTTTTCTATTCCGAGTTCCAATTAGTATCTTGTCCGACCTTCTGTTGCAGGCTGCCTTTGTACCAGCCCCCGACAGTGCAGACGATACAAGCTACTTCCTGTCTCGATTCTCTCAACTGTCCAGTGGAATACTGAAGAATAACCACAGTAGTAGCCTCTCTGACGACGACTCATGCAACTCATCCTCAAACTCCAAAGCTGAGGTTTGCCGACATCCCTGCACCAGTTCTTTTGAGCGTTAGACGAGTTCTCGTACATTTAACTTCCCCTTGTTTCAGATGGATGACTGTGGGGACATGGCTGAGTTCAACTCTTTGCCAATAGACCTCTCCTTGATAAACTTTTCGTTCAAGGTTCAAAGTCACTGCCCTCTTGTTATCATCTGTCTTTTCCCCCCTCAAAAGAGTCAAATTTCACCCCACTAAAATTGACGTCTGAAATGTGTGTTCTTTTCCTGGCAGAACTTGTCACAGCTAGCTAGCATTAACCATGACGTGCTGTTGCAGACTGGAAGGGATTCGTCGAAGAACTCTCCATCCAGAGCTCCAGCTACATAGTCTTTTTTTTATATCATTCGACGATCATGTACTCGGGCAGATGCTACCTCTAGCCACAGCCACTCATATAGGCCAGTAAGGAGTAGGAAAATACTGCCCCCGGTAGCTCCTTCGATTCTGTAAATAATAGTAGGAAGGGTCCTTTCTTTTTGTAGGAATAGAAGAGTCGTTTAAAGGTTAGAGAAGAAGGTTCAACCATTCATTCTAGCGTTAGGATTATAGATATGGGGGAACTGAGCTAGTGATTCTGCTCATGAAGATCGGGCAGAGTCTGGAAGTGAAGTCCTTTTACCTTGGCCAGGAAGTAAACCAAGGTACATTAGTTTCCATATCCTCTGTGCAAACTAAACACCGTCCGATTCCCTTCATGTTCTAACTCTTCGTCCTTTCTGTGACTGCAGTCGAGACGGACTGACGGGAGCAGCATTGACAGGTGTCACTCAGGAGGCGGAATAGAAACCGATTTGGGATGGGTTTTACTGGCTCTTTAATCCATTTCCTTGTAAGCTGGAGCTGCTTTCGCCATGTTATGCTAAGATGGTGTTTCGCCAAGTTACTTGGGCTGCACTCTAATATATGGACTCATCCTTTCAGCTGTGGCTTATTTCCAAAAAGCTAGTTTCACAAGAAATTACACTCTAATATGCTGGACTTGATCCTTTCAGCTCTGTGGCTTTCTTCAAAAAACTCAGTTACATAAGAAATTTCGTTCAAATGATTGATGGATCGATGGGTCACAGTTAGTGCTAACGGCTCTTCACAACATATCGAGTCAGATAGCAAGGGTGACAAGAATGAAGCGACGCAAAAAGGACGACAAATAAATTTCTCGACTAAAAGTGAACGTGTTTAGTCAGTAGGATACCAAAATGCACAAGAATTCACAAAATAATGTCACCCCATTTGTTTCTCTAATCTGTGTACAAAATGTTACTCGAAGGCCGACTCATTACATGTTCTCAGAGAGCACTTGAGACTTCGACTTATAAGAAAATCAGACTGGGATTGCTAAGCCCTTCTTCGCCATGCTATCCAGGACATCATTCAGTGCTTGGCACAATCCAACAATCTGCAAAATAGATGCGGGCCGCGAAACATGAATTAAGATATTCTGGGAACAACTAAACGATAGCAGCAATAATCTGGTAAGTAAATTTCTTAGGAACTGAGCAATTTGCAAGAAGGATCACCTGTTGATCCCATTGTTGGAGCTCTTCAGTGTCGTCCTCAAAATGTATGACGGCTTCCACCTAAATGTACAGAATTCATAACGGAGGGAAATATAAACATTAAGTAAAACAGGCAAGATTATGAAGACACGGAGAAAAATCAAGGCCAGGAATGTTCATGCCTGGTCTATCGATCCCCTCATTCTGTCTTCGTAAATCATCCTTGATGCGATCTTTTCAGCCTGAAAAACATGATAGATAATATCTAAATGATTAGGTTTCACTGAAAATGGATAAGACTGAATTGTGCCCGTACACATCCTGAAGAAAAGAAACAGCCACTTTGCAAGTACTAAAATGGTTGTCATAGTTTAAAGCAATTGACAAGGAAATACAGAAGAGGCATACCTTATGTGGAGGGATGCCCAACAAGGTGCCCAGCTCCTCAAAACTGTGATAAAGAAAACATAAATGAACAACAAAGATGTCGTGCCAATGATTAAACCACCCAAACTCATACAGATATAATCCAAATTTCTTATCCCGACCTTATATTTGTGTATAGTTTGCTTGCACTTAGAAGATTGTGCTCGATCATTGCACGATCAAGGACAGTGAAGTTGTCCGGCAGCAGTGCTTTCTGTTGAAGTAAACCAAACAACCAATACATAAGCACACAGCTAATGAATGTAAGACCTGCCAAGTTGAATAATTCAACATCACTAACCTGATGTGGCTTTAGTTCTTCAGAAAATGCATCAATTTCGGGTTTCCTCAGGATCCTTTCCAAGTACACCTGAAAGTACACCTAGGGCTTGTTCATAGCAGATTTATGGTATTGTTCGGAGATGGTTCAGTGAAAAGATTTCGAGAAGAGGACCAGGCAACTGAATCAGTAAACAAAGGCAGCAACCAGTGCCAAGCAAACACAAAGTTATTGCAGAGAGAGAGGACCTTTTGTAGTATAGGATAAATTTTGAGCTTTGAGCATCTCTCGTCCTGATATAATCCAACAAGACATCACTGCATCAGTACATCTTACAAAAATATATTGCTTTCTGATTACCAGTACTTCTCAGATATTCATCTTCTATTAGAACGTAGAAGTCAGTTTACCTTATATAAAGTGGCCAGGACACGAGAGCGTTGAGGGCCCGCAGCAGCCAAAATCGTGCACGTTACAGCAGCAGTCAGAGCTTGCTCCAATGCATCTTCATCAATAGTTCTTGAATGAAGATAAGTGAAAACCATCACTAACGTTATTCAATCACAAAGTGATGAATTGATTAGAATTCACATGGTAGAATCACATACTCGTCGCCTATCTGTCTCTTCTCAATTTGAGATATGTCATAGTAGCGTAATGCAGCCTCCAAAAACTTCCTTTTTAAATCCAAAATCCTTGCATAACAAACCTGAATAGTGGTCAAATAAGTTAGCAGTTATTCATGGAGAGAAAACATGAGCCACAATGATATGCTGATATACTGCCCGACCTTGTATTGCAAGTTCAACACTTCATGCTGGCTGTTGCTAACCAAAAATGAAGCTTTGTTGATGAATGCCTCAGCATTAACTGCATCATCATCCTAACATGAAACTGCCGTTAGATTTGAACAATTGACGACCAATAACAACAGGAGAACTTGTAATTTCTGGGCTGCTCGTCAAATTGATTACAACAACAAGAACTAAGTCCACATGAGCAGTGAAATACCTCGAGATACAGGCTAGCAATTTGGACGCACTTGGACAACCTATAGGCATCGTCAATAACCCTGTAGAAAGCAAAATGTACCAATCAACAAGCATTCAAGGGGGGAAAGCAACGAACGTACTGAAGTTCAATACAAAATGCAAACATGAATCTTACTCTCAGACCTCATTCCAGAGTCCAAATCGATTCCACTCAGCATCTGTGCTGCCAGTGACCACTGCCGTTCCGACTCATATAGCTCAGCAAGTTTCTCTCTAATGATCAACACCTGAATTTACCAGCAAACACCTTCTGGGTGAACCTTTGAAACACCTTGCAGAAACATAGCTACGGGGCCAAACAAAATCAAAACCAACCTGTTCTTCGAAGGAAACCACGCGAGGCTGAATCTTAGTTAGAGTGTAATTAGCAATATCCTTCTGCGTCTCGGGCTGCAACCTCCCCAACTCCTGAGCAAAAGTCTGCAAGAGCTGCCTCGACACGACCAGCGGCACATCATCCGATAACACTAGGGGGGAAGCAGCCATTAGAGGGGGAAATTAGGTTTACGCCGGAAAGAGAATCCAACACGTAGAGATAGAAAAAGGGAAATCGAGATAGAAAGAGGTTTAACTGTGATCGATGAACTTCTTGGCGAGGGTAATGTCGTTGGAGGAGATAACGGAGGAGAGAATGTGCTTGTACTGCTCGATCTTCTGCCTCTGGTCCGTGATCGCCGAGGCGTTCGCGAAGGCGCTCTCCATTGCTGTTGACGCGGTTGTTCTCCGGCTTTGAGAAATCCTTAAACCCTAATTTCTTAATTCTCGCTGTGAGGAAAGAAGAAGGCGGTGCGGCTCCGTCTGAGTTTCCCACCTGAGAAATAGTTACAAAGAGAATAGAATACGGCTACGGCGCCGGTGACACTAGTGGAATAATATGGGGCTGGTGGTTTTTATAGTGGAGGCGGTTTTTCCGTATGGGTACACGGGAATGGGAATTTACATCAATTTGGTCCATTAAACCGAAAAAATAACATTGAACTCTACTAGCTTATAACTCGGACCGTTGGCCGATTAACATTATGCATGTTCATATTTGATTGTTTATATTCATTAGAAACACGGTCCATAAATGAAACAAATCATAGAATCCAACATTGGACCATACAGGGGCGGATCTACAACTGGTCTTGGGGGGGCCTCGACCCCCCGAGAATCGTGAAAGTTACGTCTAAACTGCATCGATATTTTGAAAATTTCGTAAACAATAACTAAGAGGTAATACGTTTAGTGTGCAAATTTGTTGAAACAAAGTAGTCTTAGTCAAGTGGGGAGGAAGTGAGTTATGATTTAGTTGGTTGAGGGTTCAATAATTAGCCTCTACAATTCTATTAATTTTTATTTTCTTTTTGTTTTAATATATCTACATAATTACTCTTTTAAATTTATTATTTCTTGACTCATTTAATTAGATATAATTACTCTTTCAAGTTTCATGTATGGTTTTTTCATTTCATTATTTCAATATTATTTCTTGACTCATTTAATTTCAAGTTTAGTTTTTTTTACCACTTTGAAATTTTATATCACTGAAAAGTTATCCATTTTGACCTTTCATAAGTTATTCTACATCAATATTTTGACTCTAATCATCTAAAATGATTAATCATAATACTAATAAAAGTAAAATTTACTTTGATTGTCTTGCTTAGTTTTTAATTTTTTATCACCCTTCTGAGTTATCCATTTTGACCTTTCATAAGTTATTCTACATCAATATTTTGACTCTAATCATCTAAAATGATTAATCATAATACTAATAAAAGTAAAATTTACTTTGATTGTCTTGCTTAGTTTTTAATTTTTTATCACCCTTCTGAGGTAATAGTATTAAATAATTTTTGCCCCCCCCCCCTTCGGAACGTCAAATCCTAGCTCCGCCCCTGGGACCATAAGTGCATTCGATCTGGTGGGATCCGATGAAGTTCGATTGAAAAGTCCCATCAGAACATTTTTCTTTTGAACTTGTATGATTGGTAGGATGAAGGTCCAAGACATATTAGATTCAATTCGATATGGTCTTGGTCAAAGTTGTGTTGCGTCCAGTGTGGTTTGGGGTTGACCATCAAAAGTTGAGAGCAAATGACAAAATTAGAGTTACATCCAATATACTAATAGACTCCATCAAAGTAATGAGGCACAAAATTAGACACTCCTTATCTACAGGTTCCAGTTGTTTGAATAGTGAATCGACCTTAACTTCAGTAAATCAATCAATGATTCCTTATTTTAACATAAACATAGGTTGTGGTAGTTGCAACAACCATAACACCTAAAGATCCAATAGTTTTCCACTCTCCGTTGTACAACCAACTTTTTATCCCTCCATCTTCAATCTCTCGACGTATATGTTTCAAACCAAAATTCAATTTCTAATCCTCCTTCTGCAACTCCGTTTATGCTACTTTGATGGACCTTCTCTCCATGAACCTGAATTTCTCTATCAATTGAGTTTTTTGTCAGCTTGATCTCCAACTCCTCAATCCTCTTTCTTGTATTTGGCGAACTCATCTTCCTCGAGGTAGTTTAATAAGCTCGTAAAACTAACACTCATCTTCAGTTCCATCAATATGCTCTTCTCCTCCTTCTCTGCCTTCACCTGATCCAGTTCACTTCCATGTCCTTCAATACCCTCTCCATTTTCATTAATACCCTGATCATCTACCACTTCTCTCTCTTCAACTGCTTCAATTTTGCTTCTATGTCTTTCAATATCCTCCTTGTTTCAATCACTACCCTGACCAACTGCCTCATCACTGCTTTCACTTGCTGCAAACTACTTCCATTACTTTTTATACACCTTCCTCAAAATCACAATCAACTAACCAATATCAATCTATGGCCTTGGATGAGTTTTAAACTCTCTATGAACATCTCAATACCACAAAGTCTAAATATAAATATTCTTTCAGTTAATCGTGAACTTGAGTTTATCAAAATTTAATCCACTCCTTCTAAGTTGAAATTCCCATCCCCCAAGCTCATTTTTGGTTCATTAGATCCGACATAACCATGATATTATACCTCTAACTAAAATAAATCAAAGCACTTTACGAAAAGAAACCGAACCATGAACTTTACCTGCTACCAAATCCAAACACAATTTCTTCCTATCACCACTTCCCTTCTCAAACCCAATATCAACTTTTACTCCAAGTGTGTTGCGTGAAAGCTTAATTTTAGCAATCATTATGCTTCCAATTAGATTAATGGACACCACCAAGTGCCAAAATTCCACCAGACGATGAGTTGTCTTCACTTTGAGTTTTGTCATAAAACTGTTGGCCCGATATGTTTATTAGTTTGGAGGCCATATTATGAGCAATACCGAATCAGTTGCAGCGAATTTACCGGTCACCGTAATGACAATGTGAAACATGTATTAACAAACGCGAATATGATTTACTTTTATGGATTGACAGTAGAATGATGGGATTGGACAATGAGATCGTCCTTAGGTAAGCAACATTTAAATTGGTTCATTTGGTATGGAGGACACAAACCGTTAAAATTCTAAATTATTTGGGTGAGTTTGTATTTTGTGTTTTCAAAATCGTGGTATATGAGTTAGGTGATTAAAATATCTAAACCCAAACTAACCGACCCACTCACACCCCTAGGAAGAGTTTCAAAACTTAGTATTTAACCGGATAAAAATGTTCAGAGAACCAGTCCCCTATAGTTTGCACAAAGATATGATTGCTTCACTATAGTTCTGGAAATTAATGATAATTTAAGAATTCTATATCGCTTCTACATATTCAATACTATAATTAGATATGAAATATTTGAACCAACAATATTTTGGTTGCAAATTTATGGTTATCGTCTATTTATAAGATATATAAAATTTTAAATTAAATATTATACTATAATTAAAATAAAAAATATCAAAATCGAAGTATCAAAACACCAAAAAGTAGTTACGGAATATTTATTGGGCTAGCTAACTGTTGAAAAGTTCTGTGATTTCATATTTTAGCTTCGTATATATTTTTAATTTAAAAAAATACAACAAATCTACATAGTCTGATTGATTTTAAACCTTCACTTTGTTTGAAGTGACCATGGTTCAAATCTCAATATGTGTATCTTTTCCTGTAAATAAATAAAAAAATACACATAATTGTGAAGACAAAAATGTCCTTCCTAATTTTCCTCTCATTGCAGGAAATTTGAAAAGGGAGATTAAGTTTCAAATAATTAAATCATATACCCTAAATCTATAGAACTTAAACCTAATATCACATATACTAAGAACATAATCAATGATCCTGATTCGCTAAGATGTATACAACATACCATATGCACTATATTAGGATTTATAGAATTATGATAGGTTGAGTTACGTGATTAATCTATGGTCTAGATAATTTTATTTAACTAAGGAGAAGTAATAATCCTCAATCCATCGAGCGTACCATAGAATTTCCAATGGTCTAGATAATTTTGAGAATTATGATAGGTTGAGTTACAACATACCATATGCACTATATTAGGATTTAGAGAATTATGATAGGTTAAGTTATGACTCGCTATGACACAACACCTAACAATGGCCAAGCGTAACCAATGGAAGGGACTGCAGTATAGTGGCTCAAGTGATAAATATCGAATCCACGGGTCTCTAGAGTTACTATTACTCAGCTTCAGTTTATTATTTAGCAAACCAGATCAAGATGAAAGAACTAAAACTACTCTAGCAAACTATAGTTAAAGTTAATCTAATTACAGGTTGGGAACTCACTTAGGTATGATTCCCCCTAGCCACTAGCCAGACTAACGATTGATGATTTCTAACTTGTTTCACTTTCATTCACAATGCGGAGAATCCTTGACTAGACCTTGAGTCTCGACTAAAGGAACAAGGCCCTCTTGAGTCAATTGCCTAGAGGGACGTATCCTTCTCTAGAACAACCGATCAAGGCGTTCTGAACTAGATTCCCTCTATCGAATGAGGTTCTCAATCCATACAAAGCAGTGAATCAACCCTCGACTAAAGCAATCGATCCACTACTATCAATCTATGGTGCTCTATTGACCTAATCAGGTATTCCCTCTCATAGGATCAAAGCAGAATCAATAATCTCGACTAAAGCATAATTGAATCATGAAAACATGCATAGATTGAATATGAACTCAAGATTATCAAGTCAGAGTACTCATACAATCATCCAATCAAACAAACATAGCTAGGGTTCCTCAAAACCTAAGTGAAGGGAAGTTACTCCACAGAGAAGAGAGAGACTGCAGTAAGAATCTTCAGATGATCAGTCTTCAAGTCCGGGCTTCTTCCTCGAGCTTCCAAGGCAAAGAAATCCTCCAATTCCACTCCAAGAATGCCCTCAAATCGCCCTCTCTCTCTTTGGTTCGTCCCTTGGGTGTTTGGGATCCAAAACCCAGCTCTCCCCTTTCCTTTTGGCTGAAAATCTGCTTAAAAGGGCATTAGTGGCCAAAGCACGGTCGAGGGCACGGCCGTGTAATGCCTCAGCCCGCCCGTGCTTTGGCTAGGGTTAATTACACGGCCAGTGCATTGGGAGAAACACGGCCGTGCTTTGGAGAGAACACGGCCATGCTTTGGGAGAACACGGCCGTGCTTTCAGCCCGTGTAATCAGCTCATGTTTGCCAAACTCGAATTAGCTCTCGGCAGTAAAAGCACGGCCACAGAACACGGCCGTGTTTTGGAGAGAACACGGCCGTGCTTTGGGAGAACACGGCCGTGTAATGAATTAGGTGTGCCCGTGTTTTGGCTCCAGCTCGACGAAATGACTTCTGAATGCCCTGAAACTCGTGCTTAGCCTTTCCTTTGACGCCTGGGACCTGAAATATGACAAAATAGCACAACCCGGCGTAAAATAGGCCAAAAGTACACGACTATGCCCCTCAAACGGATAAGAACTAGGGGCGCAAATATGTGCAATTACATCGTTATCAAACTCCCCCACACTTAACCGTTTGCTTGTCCCCAAGCAAACCTAACTCAAACCAATGCAACTCTCCAGACCTCTATAGCAACAAACAACCCAGATCGTAGGTAGAGGACTTCCTAGATCATTTAGCAGCTTACGAGGTCAACCGACGCACAAGTCATCTCATAGCTCCTTCGGCGAGAGCACTAGTATCGAGTCGGCATCATGGCAAATAGTGAACAGAGGACAAATGAATTGTGGATGAAGAGATTCTCAAAAACAAAAGATCATGGACTCACATTTTTCAAGGTGCTCTATATTCTTTGAAGATGGTTGGAACCCCTTTTCTTTCTGTTTTGCTTGTTTTCTGTGTTTTTTTTTCAAGGGTCCCAACCGGCTCTTACCGGCCATGCCAGGAGCGGATGTCTCGAGCCTCGTGTGGGGGAAAGACATGTAAGGGGGCTGGAGGTAGTAGGTGGAAATTGGGAACGGATTCCCGTCTCCCCTTACACACTTTCGCCCTATTCGCACGGGAGACGTTATTTTGAAGCACATTTTCGAGCACCTGTTATTTTCAAAGCATGATACAAGAGTCCAACAGGCAGAGAATCCACAACACCACACAATTCAAGGGTCCTAAGATCACTAATTCACTCAATCAACCAACACAATATGAAGAAGAAATGAGATTTCTAAAATGCATCAACATCCTCCATAGTGCTACACTACCTCCCTAGGTTGCATATTACTATAAAGACTGTCAATTCAAAGCATACTGAGCAGGCAATTGCAAGGGGAACGTACTTGGAGCCCTCAAATTTAAAAATTTGGACAGTGGACTAGGCTCCAAGCACACAAACAGCCAAACATTCACCCGCATAAATAATCGAACATCCCCCCACACTTAAGCACGACATTGTCCTCAATGGAGGAAAGATAAGGAGGGTAGAACGAAGTTACCAGATCAAGAGTGAATGATGATGAACGGGTCAGGCGGTGCATTCCAGAAAGAGAGAGTAATCAGAACACAAACACCACACAAAATCTCACAAAGGTTGAGTTATTGACTCTAAAATCAAATAACAAAACTGACTCAACCGAGGAGAAATATAGAAAGAAATGCAAACCGACTGGTTGGGTTGCCTCCCAACAAGCGCTTCTTTCACGTCGTGAGCCAGACGATGGCTCCTAAGTTTCGGTCCATGCTAGAACCTCCTTGAAGTTGAGGTTCTCGTTGATGAGGTGGAGTCTCAAGTAACGAGCATGTGGTGTGACAGGTGATGAAGGCTCATGTACTTGATGCAGATGAAGTCTCCACCCTCGAGACCTCTTCTTCTCTTCTCTCGTCTCATTTCCCCAAACCAGATATGACAGCATCGATTGGCCACCATCGCGTCCACCAAGAGGGACCGATTTCGATGTGGCTTTGGTCCGGCAAAGAAACACTGCAAATGGGTCCTTGCTAAGCAGTTCCTCAAAGTTTGGTGGGGATATCACTTGCAACTCATGGCCAGTGCAAGCCTCTTCCACCTCAACTTCGTCCTCAGCCTGGACGCCAATTGCTTCTTCAACCTCCCTTCCTTCTTCATGTGGTATCACCCCTGGGAAATGATCAAGAACTCCTCCAGCTTCACTTTCGTCATCCTCCACAACTTCTTTCTGCACCCTTTCTTGCTCTTCTTCTTCTTCTAGCACGGATTGGAGAGCAATTTGCCAAGCAATTTCTTTCATGAGATCTTCTTGCATCTCCTCACTCATGCCCGCCTCTTCAAAGCTCATTTTGGGGTGTGGGAAGGTGCGGTCGGCTACGACATGACACTCCTGATCATGATCATCACGGGAGCTCTCCGTGACAACTTCAGTGTGCTCCACAATGTCCTTGTAGCCTTCTTCTTCCTCCTCCTCTTCTTGTATGGTAGCAGAAGGGTGATCTGGAGCAGGTTGCGCCCAAGATCGCTCAAGATCATCGACGCTCTTCTTAAGGCTCAAGAGGATCTCCTCTGTTTCACGATAGGCCTGGACACAATGATCCATCCTGGAGCATGATCTCTCCATGAGAAGCCTCAATTCGTAGGTTGGATCTGGCTGTGGAGTGTAGCATGGCTCTGCAGAATAGCCCGTGAAGGCCGCCATGGGTAACTCCAGCGCCGATGGCCCTTCTGGTTGTGGGAGAAATTCTTCTTGGTAATGAGCTTGTTCTTGATATGCCCAGGGGTCCGGTTGTTCTCCGTAGTAAGGGGGTTGGTACTTGAACCCGAATCCATAGTCTTCTCCTCCTTGATTGCTCCAGGGAGTCTCGGGGTAATACCACTCGGATGGTGGTGGATACCCCCAATGATTGGAGAAGCCATGAGGATCCATGATTCAAATCTGCACCAACAGAAACAAAAACACCCAAGTGAAAAGCAAGGGTGGAAAAGAAAAGAAAAACGCTAAAGTAACAAACTTCTGCCTTTCCTAATAATCTAGAAAGTCCCCGGCAACGGCGCCAAAAACTTGACTCGCTATGACACAACACCTAACAATGGCCAAGCGTAACCAATGGAAGGGACTGCAGTATAGTGGCTCAAGTGATAAATATCGAATCCACGGGTCTCTAGAGTTACTATTACTCAGCTTCAGTTTATTATTTAGCAAACCAGATCAAGATGAAAGAACTAAAACTACTCTAGCAAACTATAGTTAAAGTTAATCTAATTACAGGTTGGGAACTCACTTAGGTATGATTCCCCCTAGCCACTAGCCAGACTAACGATTGATGATTTCTAACTTGTTTCACTTTCATTCACAATGCGGAGAATCCTTGACTAGACCTTGAGTCTCGACTAAAGGAACAAGGCCCTCTTGAGTCAATTGCCTAGAGGGACGTATCCTTCTCTAGAACAACTGATCAAGGCATTCTGAACTAGATTCCCTCTATCGAATGAGGTTCTCAATCGATACAAAGCAGTGAATCAACCCTCGACTAAAGCAATCGATCCACTACTATCAATCTATGGTGCTCTATTGACCTAATCAGGTATTCCCTCTCATAGGATCAAAGTAGAATCAATAATCTCGACTAAAGCATAATTGAAGCATGAAAACATGCATAGATTGAATATGAACTCAAGATTATCAAGTCAGAGTACTCATACAATCATACAATCAAACAAACATAGCTAGGGTTCCTCAAAACCTAAGTGAAGGGAAGTTACTCCATAGAGAAGAGAGAGACTGCAGTAAGAATCTTCAGATGATCAGTCTTCAAGTCCGGGCTTCTTCCTCGAGCTTCCAAGGCAAAGAAATCCTCCAATTCCACTCCAAGAATGCCCTCAAATCGCCCTCTCTCTCTTTGGTTCGTCCCTTGGGTGTTTGGGATCCAAAACCCAGCTCTCCCCTTTCCTTTTGGCTGAAAATCTGCTTAAAAGGGCATCAGTGGCCAAAGCACGGTCGAGGGCACGGCCGTGTAATGCCTCAGCCCGCCCGTGCTTTGGCTAGGGTTAATTACACGGCCAGTGCATTGGGAGAAACACGGCCGTGCTTTGGGAGAACACGGCCGTGCTTTCAGCCCGTGTAATCAGCTCATGTTTGCCAAACTCGAATTAGCTCTCGGCAGTAAAAGCACGGCCACAGAACACGGCCGTGTTTTGGAGAGAACACGGCCGTGTTTTGGGAGAACAAGGCCGTGTAATGAATTAGGTGTGCCCGTGTTTTGGCTCCAGCTCGACGAAATGACTTTCGAATGCCCCGAAACTCGTGCTTAGCCTTTCCTTTGACGCCTGGGACCTGAAATATGACAAAATAGCACAACCCGGCGTAAAATAGGCCAAAAGTACACGACTATGCCCCTCAAACGGATAAGAACTAGGGGCGCAAATATGTGCAATTACATCGTTATCAAGTTACGTGATTAATCTATGGTCTAGATAATTTTATTTAACTAAGGAGAAGCAATTACCCTCAATCCATTGAGCATACCATAGAATTTCCAATGTATATACACATACCATTGTTTGTTAAATTTAGCCAATGATAATTGGCTCATTTGTCAATGGTATTTAGTCTTTCAATTCTGTGCTTATAATTGTCAATCATTAGGGAAATTGTTAGCCAATGATTTTTGGTCATCCACTTATATCATTGAAAATGTCTCGTTACAAAACCATATATCACAAATGTCAAATTTTATGTTTTGAAATAAAATTTTGTATAGCACTTTTGTAAACAATCATTGTATTCCTACGAACTGCAAAGTCATGTAACCTAATAAATGTAAAAGTTGTAAGACATACATAAACTCAAAATGTACTATTTGATTCTTGGTGAAGAATTGTGTGATCAGAGGAACTCGCTTTGTAAATAATTACAATTATTAATTAATTCGATGATTGATTGTTGCAGTGGATAGTAGTATGATTTTGAGATATTTCAGCATTTTCTCTCTTTAATTCAAAAAATACATAAACATTGTTGTAGTTCAGTTGGTTAGGGATATTGACTATCAATCTAAAGGACTCAAGTTCAAGTCTTGGTAATGAAATTTTTTTTTCTAGTAAGAAGATATTTAAGTTCTAAGTTGAACTTACAAATTTACCCGTAGCTACAATTAAGGAGAGTGCAAGGAATTTGAAATGCTCAAAATCTCCAGAAGAACGGATATATATTATAGAAGGATTGGGCTAGAGTTGCTAATGAGTCGAACCGAATTTTATCTTTGATTAAATTCGAATTGTTTATCAAGGAGTTAAGTATACCTCAAGTTCAACTTAATTGTTTATTAAAATCTTGTCTCATCATTAAAATTACGAGTTCAGCTCGAATTCAACTCAGTTATTTTAAATAGTTGAACTCTTAAACCAAAATCTAAAATAATTCATAAATTAAATATCATAATATTTTTGTGTCTTATAGTTATATGGTATATGTGATATTTATATACCAATATTGGTATCATGTTATTTAGTTCATCAATTTTAAATAGTGCATATACTAATTAGCATTTAAATAATTTATGATACATAATTTCTATTTTAAATTATAAATGAGACATGTTTACTTGCGTACGGAAAGTCTTAGACATCACATAGATGAGATATACGATTTAACTAATTTATAATTTATCAACAAACCAACTCATAAGATACATATATATTTTCTCATAAACATCTCGTTGAATTGAATTGCATGTTATAATATTGAGACAGCTCATAAGCACAAAACAAGATAATTCACGAGTTAACCTCAACAAAACATATATTATCCAAATGGATGAATCCAACAGCGAGCATTTAACCCGATTCACGCCAACCCGAACCATTATCCCCGTGGAATCTTCAGTCTTAATTAAATGTCCTCCGTCACGTCTCGTTCAATTTCGCAGCAAAACCAGTTGTTTCAGTAATTTCAATGACCAAAATTGATATTAAATTTTTCTAGTGGCTAAACATGAGACGATTTAGTAATCTCAGTGATCAAATGTGGCATTTACCTGTTTGTTTTTCTTTCCGCTGAAAGGTTCTCTTCCGAATTCTGCATCTACAAGATATATAAAGGCAAAAATGGGTTGAAATTCTCCCATTTCAAATTTCATGGCTTGAGAGTGATTCTAGGAAGGTCATTTTTGTCATTGCACCCACTTTATCTTTATATATTAAAAATGTTATTATTGGAGTTCGAACCTGGGTCAATTAAATGAAGAAAGAGCATTATAACCAACTAGACTACATTTTATTTATTGTTGTTTCTTTGATTAAACTCTAGGAATATGTTTGGTGATGATGCTTCCATATTTATATTTTATCTTTAAGTTATTTATATTTTATAGAATGAGATTAGTTCTGAAATCGAAACTCAAGTAGTATTGATTCAAACATTAATATTAAATTGTATGTGTAGTTTAGTTTAGTTTAGTTTAGACAAAATACAGAAGTGTAACCAAAATATGGACCTTTGTAACGAGTATAGCCATTTTTGTGACAAATCTATACATTATATAATGACAAAATTGGAAAATGAGTGTCTGTTGAACCAATGCTTAGTTGATTGTTTTGAAGCTAGGGGGCTTGGGGTAGAAAGCTAGCAAGTTAGGTTTGTTTCATTTTGTTGAGTATCTCTGTGAGGTTATGATGTACAGGATTGTAAGTTTTTGAGGGCTCCATAGCACTTTGCTATAGGTGTCGGTTCTTAATGCGATTTGATTTAACCATAAAAAAATGGAAAATGAGAGTCTTCTTTTAAATTTCGTGGTCTGAGAGTGATTCTACGAACCTCTTTTTTCGTCATAGTGCCAAATTTATCTTTATATTATGTGTATATTTGTCACAAAAAGTTACTATATATGTCACGAAGACTTATGTTTTGGCTTAACACATGTATTTTATCTAAACTGTACCACACATACAATTTAATATTTAATGTTTGAATCAATGTTACTTGAGTTCCGATTTCACAATTAATCACTTCTATAAGATATAATAATTTCAGGTAAAATGCACTTCTTACCTGGTTGAAGAAGCTCTTTCTATAAGATATATTCAATGTTTTAATATTTTTCATTTCCAATTTCGTGAAATGAGAGTGAAAGTAGGAAGAGTATTTTTTTCATCGCAATTATTTATCTACTTTCTATAAAAAAAGTATCAACATCTAGATTTGAACCATGGTCTCTTAAAAAAAATAACAATCACAATCAATTACACTAAACAAATTTGTTTTATCTTCTTGAATTGTAAGCATACACTTAGCGAAGATTTGAAAAGCATAGGAATTTTCCATCACGGTTAGCTAGCCTATTAAATATTCTAAAAAGCAAAGTTTAATACGTGATTTATAATTTTTTTATAACCTATAAAATGACGGGTAATCTTAAAATTGCAACACAAATTTCAATGCTTGAAATATTGCATATCGAATTGTAGTATTGAATATGCAACAGAGATGTAGAATTCTTTAATTAATATAATTTTTTTTATGAATGGATTGGGCTTTTCATTTCATCAGAAATGGGCAAACAACTTTGCTGGCAACAAGCTCTGCCAGCTGAGCCAAGAACCTATCAAGGTATTCACATTAATAACAATCAATCAAGCAAACATACTGCCAAAGAGACTAGACAAACTAATCAAGAAGTACATGGTCCAGAAACAGCCGCAAGTCTCCCTTAATCAAACGAATCAGCTCCTCCATGTCAAACACCTTTCCTCCAAACTTTATCATGCATCTCTCCCTCCAGACAACAGCAATCAGACTATGCCAAATTACTTTACCCACCTGAGCAACATCATTCTTCTTTTGGAAGTGTAAGGACGCCCACTGGAGTTCAGTCAGCCACTGACCCCCCGGAGAGCTAGTTGTATACTTTGTAAACAGAGTTGTAAAAAGCTGCTTGTAAACATGACACTCTGCAAACATGTGAGATATTGTTTCCAGGGAAGAACTACAAAAAAAAACACAACAGTGACTTCCTATAGCTCCCCACCCTTGCGCTTTGTCCCCTATCATAATGTAATAATTGACAATGAGCCTGACCAGAAACTGATTTATGGGAATACAAGATCCCTTCCAAACCAGAGAGTTCCAAGAGACAAGATTACTCTTAGGCCTGAGCTCCTCCCAGACTTTCTTTATTCGGAAATTTTCCATCAGATCTCCTTTCCAGTATACCCCATTAACCCCAACCGACAAATAGCTACGCATCCGATCTCTGCATTTTAACAATTTGAGCCACAACCAAGACCTTGCCTTAGAAGTGATAGTCAAAAAATCACACCTCTTGATTATGTACTCCCAAACCCAGGCCACCCATAATGACCCCCTGTTTCAACAGTATAGCCCAGATATGCCTTGTTACGCAAGCCAGATTCCACGAAGACATGTCTCTAAACCCTAGACCACCTTCCTTCTTAGGATAGGTAACCCTTGGCCAAGCAACCACATCTCTTTTCCTAGAACCATCCCCCACACCCCATAAAAAGTCACTGCACAGCTTCTCTATTGCTCTAATAATTGCTTTAGGGAGGATAAAAATAGAATCCAGAATTGTGTTAGGCTATATAAAACTGACATAACCAATTGGAACTTCCCTGCATAAGACAAAGCTTTAGCTTTCCAGCTAGATATTCTCCTTGTAACCCTGTCAATCAGAGGAGCACAAGCTTTAATGGTGAGTTTCCCTGCTAGCAAAGGGAGACCTAAATATCGAACTGGAAGCTTCCCCAGCTTATACCCTGAGTAATTAGCCATTTCCTCCTTCCATTCCTCACTAATTCCACCACAATATAACTCACATTTTTCTAGATTTGATTTGAGACCTGACATTCTCCTGAACTCAGATAAAACTTTCTTGATACACTGGATCCCAAGGTTAGATTCATTAGAGAATAATAATAGATCATCAGCAAACATAAGGTGAGTTAACCCCAGTCTCTTACACATGGGGTGAAAAGGCATTTCATTCTTCTTAACTGCTTCATTCATTAAACAAGACAACTTCCATAGCCGCAGCAAACAAGTAGGGGGAGAGGGGATCTCCCTGCCTCAGCCCCTTCCTAGCAGAGAAATAGCCCACTAAGCCCGTATTAAACCCTATGCTCAGCTTAGGTGTGGTCACACACATTCTCAACCAATGCAAGAACCTATCAGGAATCCCCATTGCTTGCAAAGTATTAAAGAGGAAACCCCAATCAACAGAATCAAAGGCCTTCATTAGATCAACCTTCACTAAGGACCTAGGAGAGATATTCCTTCTACCATATTTCTGTACTAGTTCATGTGCAAGTAGAATATTCTCCCCTATTACCCTACCTTTAACAAAAGCGGTTTGAGATTCACTAATTATGCAGGGATTGGCCATACATTTATACAGAATATTACAGCATGAGATTGGCCTAAAGAATTTCATCTCCTCTGGGGACTGGACCTTAGGAATTAGAGCTAAGAGGGTTGAATTAACACTTAGAGGTATATCAGAAACTCTGAAACAGTAAAGAATGGCAGATGTTACCTCCTCACCAATGATACTCCAAGCTGCTTTAAAGAAGCAAGCGGGGAAACCATCTGGCCCAGGGGCCTTCTCCCCATCGAAGCCAAACAGGGTAGACCTGACTTCATCAACAGTAACAGGAGAACATAACTCATCTCCCTGCCCAGGTAATAATGTTTTAATCAGAATTTTCTTGATTTGTCCAACTTCTGGAGGAGCTACTTCAGTATCACGTTCCCCCAACAGTTTCCTATAGAATCTCTCTGCTATACCAGACATACCATCTGTATCAGTTACCCTTTGACCATCTTCATCAATTAAAGATCTTATCATATTCCGCTTCTGTCGACTCTTGACTGAGTTATGAAAGTAAGGAGTATTCGAATCTCCCTCTTTGAGCCAGATTTCCCTAGATTTCTGGCGAAAAAAGGACTCTTCAGCCTCTCTTAGCACTTTAGCCTCTTTAGCAAGTCTAATCTCCTCACCAAAAGAGCTAGGTGAAGGGTGTTTAAAGCCTCTGCCTGTGCAATCAACAATTCAGACTCCTTCAAATGAGCCCTTTCACTAAGGTCAGAATAGTCATCTTTATTCAACTTCTTGAGCAGACCCTTAAGAATTTTCAGCTTCTTGCAAACGCGAACTAAAGGTGAGCCATCCACACGCACCAGCCATGCTTCCTTAACTAAGTCCATAAATCGAGGGTGCTTGATCCAGAATTTAAAGAATTTGAAAAGTTTTGGCAAAGATTTAATTGAACTATCAGAGTTTAACAAAATTGGGCAATGATCCGACACTGAAGGGTCCAACAGATCAACAGTACTAGAAGATAATTCCTCAAACCACTTTGTATTCACAAAAACCCGATCCAATCTCCTCGCTATTGGATTTCCCAACTGCTTATTAATCCATGTAAACCATGGTCCACATGACTTATGTTCTTCTAACTCACAGTCATATTGCCACTTCCTAAAATCAATCATACTACTTGTGAGTTGAGGCATATTTGAAGCCTCACTGACATCCCCAATTGCATTAAAGTCTCCTAGCACTGCCCAAGGGGCAGATTGAACTTGAAATCTACCCAAATCACTATAAAGAACTCTCCTGTCCACTTCATCATTTGATGCATAGACCACAGAAAGGAAAAAAGGAGTACCTGAAACAACTAACACATGGATGAACTGATCCGTCATATGGAGAACTGTAAGCTTGATATCTGACTTCCAAAGCAGCCACAGCTTCCCCAGCCCACTAGAGTTGTTTGCCACTTTTGACTCCCAACCAGGAAACCTCAAATTAATCAACTCATCTGCCTTATTTGCTCTCACCCGAGGCTCAAGTATAACTAAAATATCTATACTATGTATATTAAGTAGCTTTCTAACAGCTTTATTCTTATCCAGGTCATTGAACCCCCGGATGTTCCAAGTAAGGATTTTCATCGCTTCTTCCCAGCTCTACCCCCTTTACGAGGGACAACCGGTTCAACTCTTGGTGTGGCAGGTTTCCTCTTAGAACTTCCAACTATAATCCACGGGTTTGGCTCCTTAGCTGCTGCATTCATCTGAGGGGATACCCTCCTATCTACTGGTGAAGTAGCCCCAGCAGACAATTGTTTAGATTGATCAGAACTCCCAGCCAGAGCTGATGATCCCGAGACAACCTCAACAAAGCTAGCAACAGTACCCCCATTAAGCAAAGGAGTAGAAGCAGCGCACCCATTAAGATCCTGAACAACAACCTCCTTCTCTTTAGGCATTTCAGCCACCACTTCACTAGCCACAACATCCTCTTTAACCTCTTTAACCTGAACAACAGTCCTATCTACTAAAGTACTCTGAACATTCTCAACATCCCCCAACTCAGCACTTGTGTCCTTAGCCTCAGCTTGCTTAGCAGTCCCCTTAACAACCCACTTCTTAGTACTGTTGGCCAAATTTGTGCAATCATGACCATAAACTTGACAATGAGGGCACACCCTAGGAAAGTTCAGATACTCAATATTCACATCAAAGAAGGGATCATCATCTGGATAGAGGGAAACCCACATTCTGCCGATATATCAACACACACCTTCGCAAATCCCAACTGGCCTCCAACCCTAGTAGTTTTATCCATCCAGAGAGGAGGTCCCACAGTACTCGCAATCCACTCCAATCCCTCAGTCGAATAGTACTCCAATAGGATCCCCCAAATTGACACCCAGATAGGTAGAGTTTCGACCAATGGAGTCATTGGCTGGATTCCTGGAGTCCATTTCCTGAGGTAGAGTTGAAAATTAATATAAATTTTCAGAACTACTATGAAGCAATAATATTTTGTACAAACTATAGGTGACTAGTTCTCTAAAATTTTAGCCTGGTTAATTGCTAAACATTAAACCTCTTGCTAATCTGGCATGAATGGATCCGACAATAATGAGATGATATTAGGTTTAATGTGATGTTCATTTTGCCATTTTTGGGTGTGTTGATCAATTTAAGTGCATTAACATATAAATGAGTTATAATTAACCTCATTATACAATTTTTACTCTTTATAATAATTAATTTAATCTTAATATTTGTGATGTTTGAAATATTTTATGTATGATTTAGAGATATACTTATTATTTGTGGCATCAGTGTTAGTTGGTTCAAATGTAGTATTTTATCATGTAGTCAAAATCAAATACTGGGTTCATTTATGTTTGTTTTTTATTTTGGTGTTGCGAATAGGTAAAAACGTAATTATTAGAATGCATGTAACTATACGCAGGCACATGATCGAGCTAGCATGACACAATTAGAGCATACTATGAAGACAATGTATATGGA